CCCAAGGGGTTCTTGTCTGCTTGCAGAGAGCAAAAGGGTTGGAGGCCTGGCCGGCACGCGTTCCTCCGGGTTGTTTGGTCGTGTTTTCTTGTTGTGGCGTTGTCCTGTTTTTGTTTTCCTTCTTGCATTCCTCGGTTTGCTTGGTCTTGTTTCCTCACTGCATTCTTCGGATTGCTTTGTTTTGCTTCCTTGTTGCGTTTGGCAGGTTGCTTGGTCTTGTGTCCAAGCAATGGCGATGCCAAGCAGCACCAGGTAACGCCCAGCAATGCCTCGCAACGCCAAGCAACGCCAAGCAGTGTCAAGTAATACCAAGCATAGCCAAGCAATCCGGAGCAAGGCCAAACCATGCTGATCAAGGCGCCCACGCAATAGCTTGGCATCGTTCCGACGTGTGCTTCTCGGCGAGGACCATCGAGGATCATCCCGGATCACCACCTCGCAGAACAAGCAGCGCACCAGAACCCGACAACAACACCGAGATCTCCATTGGACACGAAATTCTGTTGAATGCCGTCTTTTGTTTCTTCGGGCTCGCGTGTCCCGCGTCGATGAATGCCAGCCGTGCGCGCGTGGGAGCAACGTGGGTCTTCTTTTTTCTTCATTGTTAGGATTTCAATGGCCGCGCGAGGCCCGTGGGTCGTGCGAGCCTCGCCAGCACCCTGAACCCCACAAGTCCCAGAAAGGTTTCCTGGGCCACATGAGCGACACAATGCGCATGGGCCCACTGCGCCGCGCGAGCCCGGCGAGCCGCGCGGGCCCCATGGGCCCCCTGAGTCGTCACGACCGCGTCGGGTTTGTGGGCCTTGCGAACCCCCGGGCCATGGCATCCCCGTAGGGGCCCCATGAGCCCCATGGGTCGTTTGTTTGTTTTGTTTGTGTTCCTTTTCATGCGAGCCCCATGGCCTGTGAACTCAGCGAGCAATGTGAGCCACCTCCAGCTTCCTGGGCTCCGCTGGGCCGCTCTGCCCTCGCACGGAGAAGGCCGCCATTTTTTCCAGTGGGTTCTTGGTGCTGGCACCGGCTTTTCGCCCCTGGCAACATCGCAAAGCCGACGCCAGCACCCGGCCCCCCGCTGGAACGGCGGCTCCTCGTGGGGGAGCGGAACCCCGTCGGCTTCGGAAGTTGGTCAGGGTATGCGGGTCGGAGTTAAGCGGGCGCCACGAGCTCGGGCGGGGAGTGGGCAGGGGAGTCGGAATCGTCGGGTGCCGGCCACGGGTTTGCAGGGGGCCAGGGATGCGGCAGGGGCGGGCAGGGGTGCGGGTGGGAGGAGTGAAAAAGGGAGCGGGAGGGGGCAAAACGGGTGGAGGGAGGCGTAGAGGAGGACGGCGGGGGAGAGAGAGGATTCGTTCGGTCTTCGAGGGAGCCGCATCCTTTTCCCTCTCCTCCCCCTCTCCCGGGAAGGCCCGCCAGCCTCGCCTCTCGCCTGCACCTGTTTTTCTTGCCTTCCCTCCTGCTCGCTGCGCGATGTCTCCCTTCTCCCCGCCCCGCTCCCCTGCGATTCCGAAGGCCAGGACGGGCGCACACTGGCCCAAAACGGAAGTAAACTAGGACCCCGCACGAGAGTCAGTTTAGCTTGCCCTTCGCCCTGTCCCCCTCGCCCTGGCGGACACCTTCCTCTCGCCTTCTGCTCTGCCCTCTCTTCCTACTCCTAATATGATCCTCCTCCTCCTCCTCCTCCTCACCATCATCATCACCATCATCCTTCTCCTCCTCCTCCTCCTTCTCCTCCTCGTCATCGCCCTCCCCCATGCCCCTTCCCCCCTCCTCATCCTCCTCCTGCCTCTTCTCCATGTGCACCTCCCCTTCCCCCTGGTCGGGGCAGGCACATCGATCGCCGCCTCGGCCAGCGCGCGCGCGCGCGTTTGCCGACGGCTGGGTCACGAAGCCTTCGGGGCAACCCCGCGGGCCATGCCTTTGGGGCAAGCTGGGGCGCGTGGGCAGGCTGTCGGGACAACGCTGCGGGCCAGGCCGTTGGAACAACCCCGCAGGCCACGAGGTAGGCGCGGTCGCGCCCAGGCGGGGGGAAGCGCGAAACCCAGCCGCGCTGCGAATTGCTCCGCATCACCCCTGGACGACTTCGCTTTCTCATTGAACTTGTTGTTGGGCGCCTTCCGCAAAAACGCCAGCGGCCCACGTTCCAGAAACTCGAGCGAGGGCGGCCGCTGGATCAACGCGTTCCGCCTGCGCGTGGCCCGGGAGAAATGACGTAGAGGTGCAGCCACCATTGCTCGTCCGACATGCCCGCGCGGCCAGCGTACTCGTCCCTCGCGCAGTCAAGTTATGATGCTGGTGATGCTGATGATGATGCTGCTGAGGCACATGATGATGATGATGCTGCTGATGATGATGATGATGATGATGATGATGATGATGATGATGATGATGATGTGAGTGTGCGAGTGTGTGAGTTTGTGAGTTTGTGAGTTTGTGAGTGGGTGGTGACGAAGAGAGGGAGGAGGAGAGATTCTGCGCGGGGGGGGCGCAGAGAAAACCGGGACCCCACCTAGGATGTGGAGAAGAACAGACGACACTGAAACATGCACGGGGAATGGGCGTCTGAACGAATGGCAAGGTACGATGTGTTCCCCGGATGTTGGCCGCGCAGAGCTCATTATTGTCACCATGGCGTTCTTTTGTTTCAGTGTCATGTCGGGGTAAACCTATGAGGCTCTGCCAGGACGGTCGGTCCTTGCTCAAAGGATACCACGACCCTCCCCTCGTCTCAACGGCTGGAGTCGCCTCGAAGTTCTGGCCAGACCTTCCCCTTTGAGATGCCAAGGGAGGTTTGGGATAGCGGAGTTGGTATTTTTCCAGTACCCCACAGACGGAGGGTTGGCAGTCGGTTGCGGTTGATTTGGTAAGTCGGGCGGAGTCACGGGTGCGGTTGTGTTTCGTCGGCTGCGTCTCGTGGTTTGTTCCTTGTGTCTGGCGCACCAGTTACCCTCGGAAAAGACTTGTGTCCTTTTGGGTGCCCTTTTCTATCGATTCCGACTGGGGGTGCTGTTTCCGTGGCATTTAGATTGTCAAGAAAGCGATCGGTGATGAGACATCGTGGCAGAAGCGGCCCGCCGTTCTCAGCTTCCAGAGGCAGTTTTCGAGCTCGATGGATTGTGAAAAGACGGTCGAGGACCTAGCGAGTAGAACGTCCCAGGGACGGGTTTCAGGCCTAAGAGATAAGCATACCGCAGCATGCCGATGCCATTCCTCAGTGTTCCTCTCCTGGGCCTCACAGGGGGCCCTCGTCGCCAAGGCCGGATTCTCGGCTCGGACCATCCGTCAGAGCGCACCGTTGGAGGGGTCCTGGCAGTATGTTCTCGCTCCCCCGCCCAGGGCCGGGCGCCGCGAGCAAGAACACAGCGGACATGTCCGCCCTGTCCCCCACATTTCCGCCGCTCAAACACATCGTGCCGTGGAGACGTGTCACCATCTTCGGCTTCTGGCCTGTCAGGGGAAGCAATCCGTGGGATGGTCTTGGGGCCCTCGTCGCGAGCAGCCACGACGTCGGACGCCTGTGCTGGTCCGTGCCCGTGGGGCCATCATGATCGCGGGAGGCTTGCTCACCGGTCGAGGGGCTCGCTCCCCGGTGGAAGGGCTTCTCCCTGGGAGCAGGCAATAAATCCTGTGAGAGGCTTGATCGCCAGTGGAGATATTCGTATACGCGTGTGTTCAGAAAGTCGAAGCACAAGTGAGACACCTGAAGAGTATCACGTGGTTCTCCGCGCCACGCGGCCAGGCAATGAGCCTAGCATGACCCAGCTCCGCGGTCGCCTCCCTAGCACCTCTCACGGGGCAGTGTTGAGTAGTGACGAGTAGATCCGGGTGGAGTAGATGATGTCTAGTGCTACATCGTATAGTACGACAGGGATGAGCAGTGCTGGGCAGAGCAAGTTCGGATATCCGCCACTGGCCGGCCTGTAGGCATTGAGTCGAATGTCCTCAGGTCCCTTCATGTTAGCTGCGCTGAGCATTCGAAACTTTTTTCGAGGGGCCCAGTGTGTCCACGGACTTGGCTTGTGGCGTGACTTCTGGGGTGTTCCGCGTGATCTGTCCCGGAGTCAATGGACATTGAACCGTTAATTGTTTTCAATATTTTCTGGGAGGGTTGTACCCAAACTGGCCGCACGAACCTTCTTGTGCCAGGATACCTCCCGAAACCGCCACTGTGGCCCAGGCGGCGCCCAATAGCCCCCCGAGAGGAACCCAAGACGCCTCCAAGGCGGTTCCAAGAGGCCCTCAGAAGGGAACGCAATGTACCCCAAGTGGCATCCAAGAGGGACGCGCGCATGTGGCTCGCATGGTGTTATTTCACATGTATTGTTACACACGCACTTCGTAGATCAACGCCTGTGCACCGCACTGCATCTGTTGCAGGTGATGGGCGGGGGACCGATTCCAATGCGGCTGGGATAATGTCGTTTGGTCTCTTGGGTGGGCGGCCGTGCAAACGAATCAGGACTCACGACAAGTTCATACGTAGAGGGGACACAATGAATCCGGTGTCGGCATAGGGTGTGGAATTAAACTCTTTCAGGAAGATATATATATATATATATATATATATATATGTATATATATATACACATACATATATGTATACACACATATATATATATATGTATGTGTATATATATATACATAGATGGGGCATTCTAAAAAGGGCGTTGCCTTCGAGAAAATCATAAGTTGACATCCCTTCCGCCGCGGAAGGCAGCGGTCAACCGAGGAGGCCTCCGCGGGCGGAAGGGCGGCGGAAGGGCGGCGGAGGGCGGCGGAAGTAAAAAAAAAAGCCTCCCAAGAGATGAACACGTTTTTGGGTTTACCAGCCTGGAGCATATCCCTCTCCCTGAGCCGGGCCTCGCCTCATCACGATGCCAATCCTAGGGATTCCCCTATGATTTGAGGGCGCATCCCCGAGAGTGTCACCGCCTTTTGGCGTGCCAATCTTCGGGATAGGGATACGCTGGAGGCTGGTAAGGGGTGGAGGGCTTCGAGGGCCGCCCATGCGGTGCAGGCGCTGCCCCGCGCACGGGGCGGCCACGAGGCCACGGGCGGCGCCCGGCCAGCAGGGACAAAAAATCCTGCCCAGCACGCGAGGCGGCCACGAGGCGGCCGCGGCGACGGGGCGAACACCCACCCAAAAGCATCGCCAGCAGCAGGTGCTCTCCAAGATCGGCAGGAGCGAGTGCTTTTTGGCGGCGAGCAGAAGGGGGTAGGGGGAGGCGGGAGGGCTTCTTAGAAGGAGGCTGCTTCTCAGAAGGCGCCGGCCTGACATCTACAGAGGAGGCCCGCGCCTTTCTAAGAAGCAGGGGTGCCACTACGAAGCCTTCCCCCCTCCCCCTACCCCCCTCTGCGCGCCGCCAGGCTTTCCAAGATATGCAAAATGGATTGTTAGTAAACGGGGTGGTAATTAGCTAAGGGACTTCTCTACGAGCGAGTACGGGGCGACAGGGCATTTACATGGCACTAGTGCGTGATAGACCGGGATGACAAAATCGTCGATGCATCATCATAACCCTGGGCGGGGGGGATTACCTCGCACGTGTGCGAGACAAATCAATGTTTCGAAGGCACAGATCAAAATGCACCCGCAGCTCCCACCCCGTTTGCAAACACCCCGTTTGCAGGGGCTTGGACTTTGCGCGGCTCAATTCCGATGTATGGAAGTACTGGTGCCGATATGCGGCATAAGCGTCGTCCACAGCGACCCACCAACCTTTCCCAGAGCAGGAGACATGTCCCACCGGAGAGCCTTCAGCTGAATGTCCCCATCTCACCCCAGGGGACAAGCCCTTCCACCGGGGAGCTGCCCCGTCAACCGCGACAGAGTCTTCTCCCCCAAGGTAGGCCCCAGAACCGACCCAGCTCGGGAAGTGCGGCGGAAAGGCGGGGTCGAGGCATCCGGTCGTCATTCTCACAGCGCGCTGTGATGTTTCCGCGACGTCTAACTTTGGCAAGCAGCCCTTGGAGGTTGACCCGGCTGGCCTCAACAGGCCCTGGGGGGTGGTTCGGGACGGTCTCGTCATCCCAGCCCCGCAGCGCGGAGCGCTCCGGGGGGCGCTGCCAGAGACGGCGCGTCCAGACCGCCCTACGCTGCCCAGTGGCCTGTCGAGGCCAGCCTGGACCACCTCTGGGGGGCAGCGCGCAGCCTCAGGCCTGATTCCTTGCCCTCTCCAGGCCCAGGCGTCCCCACGAGGCCCATACGGCGAGTGGCGAGAGATTTCCCGACGCCGAAATGAACACTTCAGCGACCAGCGGGGGGGGCACGGCACTTCAGCCAGACCCTACTGAGCGTCGCGCGTCGCTTTGTCGCCAACGGTGTGCCGCGTACGCTTCAAGGGCTTGTGGGCACGAAGAGAAATTCTCAGCGTCATCGGGACGCAGAAGTTCCATCCTCATCACAATCTCCATCACCATCGACGTCCTCGTATCCTCATCCTCGCCGTCATAACCACCGCCATCCAGGAGGAGGAGGACCGCGGAGGAGGAGGGGAGGAAAACAGACTCTTGATGTTCCGACCTTTTTATTTTTGATTAACAGCGGGAATTTCGAGCACTAGGAGAGTACACCCACACTGGAGGGCTCTCACGCGTCGGGCCTCGGGAGGCGACTGTCGTTCGACTCTTCGCCAACGTGTCGGGCAGGCACTGGTTCGATGCCTCTCTGGGTGCTCGAAATTATTTTTGGGATGTGGTCCCTAAGTACGATGGGAACAACATAAGTCAGTAGGGGAAATAACAGACAGACGCAATCAATCGTCGATTCCCCAGACAATATGGGAAAACATGTGGAGTGTGTGGGGGGAGACAAGAACCCAGAAATTCTGGGAAGCATATGGGGAATCCTCGTATTTGTATATGTATATTTGTGTGTGTCCCAGGGCCCCTTCCTTTCTGGGCGCTCGAAATTACTTTACTGGGATGTGGTCCTGAAGCACGATGGGAGCAGCATGAGAACCGACGCGCGCCCGCCGCGGACCCCCAGGGGGGCGGCCCGCACGGCGCGGAGAGCGAGAGGCCCGCCGCGTCCCTGCTCGACGCCGCCGCCGCCCTGCGGACCAGCGCCTGCCTGCCATGGGGGAGGCCCGCCCGCGCCCCCCGCCCGCTGCGAGGCCGCCGCGATGCTGCGGTTGTAAGTCGGGCCTGTCCCTCTACAGTCGGGGGTGGACAGGACCCCCAGCAGTGACACGTCGATGAGTGCGTTGCCCGTTGTTTCGGTTCTCGCGAGGGCGCCGTGGCCGTCATTTTCCAGGCTGGCGCCCGCCAGGTTTGGGCCTCAGGCCGTTTTCACCAAACCACGTTTCACTAAAGGGGGGTCTGTCCATCCCCGATACAGGGGGGAATGCTGCAAAATAGTCAAAAGATAGTCGGGGGACTATTTTGGGGGCATTTGTTGTATATCATTTTTGGAGAACGTTTGGTGTATATCCTTTTCGTCCCAAATCCGCCTGTAGGGGGACATGCCCGACCTAACGCTACGGCACTCAGCTGCACTGGTACGCCCGTGTTGAACTTCAGCGCGCGCTGTGTTCAGCACGTACGTGTTCGCACGCTGCGGTGTTGGCTCGGCGCGCGTCGGCCCCCGTTTGGGCGAACGCACCGCGCCAGACCTACGCCTTCGGTCTACACTCCAGGCGATGCTTAAGAAAACCTAAGTTTTCGGCCAGAGTCTCGATTATTCTTAACGTTTCAATGTAAATCTTAAGATTTTAACAGAAAGGTTGGGTTTTTATTCAAGTTCTGAGACTATGAATTTCTTAACCCATGATTTCTTAAGCATTTCGCAGGGTGTACGTGTTGAGCTCCGTGTCAAAACGCAACGGGTTGCGTGTTGCGTATCGGGGCAGCTCTGCTCGGCTTGGGGTCTCAGCCGGCGCGGTCACGCCACGGAGTTCTGCAGAGGGACGGGGCCCAGCCAGAGCGCAGGATTTTTTGCAGGGTCGTGCAAGGTTGGATCTTGGGTCGAGCCGGGTTGAGGACCCGCTCGCGGCCATGGAGGTGGCCGTGCCCTTGCTCATGCATCTCGGCCGAGCTGGGTTTGGGGAGCTCCAGGAAGAATCTCGGGGAACGGGTTGGGACTTTTGGGGGAAGGGTCGGGGCTCCATATGGCAAGCCTGCCCCGGGGAAAGGGTCGCGAAATCCGGGGACCCCGCACTGAAACAAAAACTGGCATCGCATGTCTGGGTATCCTCCTCCTCCTCCTCCTCCTCCTCCTCCTCCTCCCTCCTCCTCCAGTTGTTTCTAAGTAGGCTGAGCCGGGGTTGCGCTGAGCTGGGTTGATCTGCGCTCGGGTCTGTGGGGGCCCGCCGCGGGGCCATCCAACAACGGCCCCGCGGCGCCGCCACGGCAACGCTGCGGCACGTCGTGCCGGCCTGCTTGCCTCTCCCTTGTTTTGGGGGGCCCTCCGAGAGAGACCTGGGACGGCGGGCGGCACCAGGGCGGCGGTGTTGAGAGGCACGTCGGGGGCGCGCGTCACGGCACAGCGCGTGACGTCGGATGTTTGGGCCCTGCGACGTTGTCGTGGTCGTCGTCATCGTCGTCGCGCTCGCCGTCGCCGTCGCCGTGGCCGTGGCCGTCGCCGTCGCCGTCGTCGTCGTCGTCGTCGCCGTCGCCGTCGTCGTCGTCGTCGTCGTCGTCGTCGTCGTCGTCGCCAGGCTTAAATCAGCTCCCGGACCACCCCTGGGGCCCCAGGGCCCATCCACGTTCTCAAGCCGCGTCCAGCCGTGGCGCCGGGGAACCTGCAGATAGGCGACCCCCGGTGTGAAGCCCCTCGCCGCCGCCGCTCGCCGCTCGCCGCCCGCGGCCGCTGCCGCTCGGCGCCGCTCGCCGCCGCTCGCCGCCGCTCGCCGCGTGCCCAGGGGCTCCACGCGGACGACCACCGCGGGCTCGGGCGAGGGCTTCCCCAGCAGCTGCAGCACCAGCACGGAGTACGCCTCGCCGACGATCGGCGGGCTGGCGCTCGCCTCTCTGAGGCGGGGAGCCGGGGGGCCAGCGGATCGAGGATCGAGGAGCGGGGATCGAGGAACGAGGAGCGAGGAGCGAGGCTCGAGGGCCCGAGGGATCGAATGCTCGAGGCTCGAGGCTCGAGGCTCGAGGCTCGAGGCCCGAGGCCCGAGGGCTGAGGAGGAGCAGGAGCCAGGAGCAGGGCGAGGGCGAGGAGCGGGCCCTCGCACCGCGGTCTGGCTCGGAAGCCGAGGCAGAAGGGCGGGGGTCTGGGGCTCCAGTCGCCGTGCTCTCTGCGATGCTGATGCAGCGTCGGATCTTGCCCCCCCTCTCTAGGGCGACGAGATCTATGCATATCCACTGCTCCCGGCCAGGCCAATCCTGGGCCCAGGAGCGGTGTATACGCCCTCCTGGCTTGGCCAGGGAGGCATATACACCGCTCCTGGGCCCAGGATTGGCCTGGCCAGGAGCAGTGGATATGCATAGATCTCGTCGCCCTACCTCTCGCGCGCAGAGCAAGAGCGGGAGCGGGACTGGGGTCTTGGAGCAGGAGGTGAGCTCCGGCATGGACGGCGACGACGACGGACGACGACTTTGGCGGCGGCGGCGGCGGCGACCACGGCGACGACAACGACGACGACAGGGAGGGCCCTCCCTCGCCGCCGCCCCCTTCCCAGGGGTGAGGGCATCTCCGAGAAGCTTCGCCAGTCGGGCGGCGACACGACGCCGCTGCCCCTGGCGCCAGAACGTGAGGACCGCGACGACCAACTGTTGTAGAGTAATTAGCGTGCTTTCTGCGTTTCGTCGTCGGCGTCGTTTCCGAAGTTGTCATGATGTTTCTGGTGGTTCTCATGGCCACGGTTGGGCGCAGCCAGCAACCCTGGTTCGGTCGGGCGCAGGGCGTTTTGCGGCGCCAGGCCCTCACTTTACTGTTCCTGTTCCTCCTTCTCTTCGCCTGCCCGCTATCCCACTCCTCCCCCCCTCGTCTCTCCTCCTCTGGTTGATTCAGCAGGTTCGACACCCCTAATCATTGGTAATCGGTAATGCGATGGGCTCCCTCAGAAGGATAGCGAACACAACTCCCTCATGTGTAGCTGGTCGGCCTCATTTCCGAAGGGAGCGTGCACCAAAGGAAGGGGAGGGCTTGCTCTTCGGCGACGACGCCCCTGCATCCCTTGTCCCTCGCCCTTCCCCTCCTCGTCCCCCGCCCTCCATTCCACATCCGAAGTTGCCGGCATGCAGCTGGTTTATGCCCTACCGCTTGGCGCATACCATGGTACATTGTCGCTTCCGGCTTAGAGAGGGCCCCAGGAAAGTCGCACGTTGCGTAATGGAGGGGGCGGAAGGGGGGGGGGTCAGGGGAGTGCCTCTCGTGCTTCCCATGGGCCCTAAAGTGGCCCTCTGGGGTCCAACAAGGATCAGGAGGGTCGGTGCACGTTTCTTCATTCCCTCCATAATCGCCCACCATCGCCCCCCATCACTCGGCGGCCAGCCCAGGGGCGGACGTGAGAAGGGGCGGATCTTCTCAGAAGGCTCGGAAGTCCCCTGGCCTTTTGAGAGGCCCCGCCGCCTTCTGAGAAGGCCGTCTCCTTCTCGCCCCCCCCCCCGCTCGCCGCCGAATCGCGCAGCGCCCAAACCAGCTGCGTGAGCTGCTTCGCGTGAGCCCTCCGGCGCCCCCGCGGAGGCTCGTCGGAGGCCCGCGGCGCGGCCCGCGCGCGCCGCCGGCCCGGCGCCGCCGAGGACCCCTTCGCGGCCTCGCTGATGGTGCGGCAGCGCTCGCTGGGGCACTGCGACTCCATGCTGGACATGGAGTCGGCGGGCGCCCGCCCCGCGGCGTCGCGGCGCTGTTTCGACGTTGTCGCCGCGCCGTCTGTGGCCGCGCGTCATGCCGCGGACAGCGTCGTGCCTCGGACAGCGTGTCGCCGCGCCGTCTGTTCCGGCGCGCGGCCTCGCGTCGGGGGGGAGGGCGTGTCGCGGCCACCGGGGGGCAGACGCCGCCTCGGTGGCCGCGGTGGGCTCGCCGCGGGTTTTTTCCCGCGTGGCGGGGTGCGGGGCGCAGGGCGTGCCATGGGTTTGCCGTGATGTCGTCGTCGTCCACTTGGGCGCGTTGAGAACAAGCGGCGCGGCGACGTACTCTTCACGCTTCGCGTATCCATGGGCAGTGACAGTGAACGGGAGGAAGAGACACGTTGCTGGCAAGGGGGTGGCTTTGGAGGGCCTATTCGGGCCATCCCTGGGGCCCGCGTGGGGGCATGGGAAGAGGAGGAGGAGGACGAGGAGGACGAGGACAGAGCCTTCAAAATCGCCTCTTGGAGTCCTCGTGGGACTCTTTTGGGGGGTTTTGGGTCCTCTTGGGGCTCTTTTGGGGGGTCTTGGGGTCCTCGTGGAGCCCTCGTGGGGGTCCCTTGTGGAGAAGGTGGAGGAGGAGGAGGAGGAAGAGGAGGAGGAGGAGGAGGAGGAGGAGGAGGAGGAGGAGGAGGAGGAGGAGGATGCAGAAGAAGAGGAGGAAGGAGAAGCAGGCGGAGGAGGAGGAGTTGGAGGAGGAGGCTGTGGAGGAGGAAGAGAAGGAAGCTGGGGAGGAATGTAAGGAGGCCGCAAAGACGAGAACGCTTGAATTTTTACGCCAAGACAACCGATGATGTTTGCTTCGAGGGCTGCCTTGGAAGTGCTCCTGGACGTCTTGGAGGCATCTTGGGCCGTGTGGACGCCATCTTCGTCGTCAGGGACCAATCGTTCGGCGATTCGGGGCCCTCTGGGGCCGTCTTGGGAGCCTCTTGTGGCACTGTTGGCCCCTCCTGGGGCTTTCGTCGGCCTGGAGACCGCCCGGGGGATGACACTCTGATCTGGGACCCCGTGCAATTTGTGCGGTGCAAGCCGTGGCGTGCCGGCGTGAGCTGCGCGGTGCAATGTATGTGTGGTCTGAGCTGTGTGGCGTAAGCGATGTGTTGCAATCGGTGTAAGCTACGTGGTGTGGATTGTGCGGTGTTCGTGTTGCGTTCGTGTTGCGGGGTCCGATTGCATGTGAATTCATGCAGGCACCTTGGGCACCTCCCTTCGGGTTGTGTCGCCCAGGTGTTCTGTCCGGGCACAAAAAAAAGGCTGTGCGGTGTAAGCTGCGTGGTGCAGGCTTTCCGGTGCATGCCGTGCGGTGTGCGACGGTTGTGGTCAATGGTGAAATCAAAATTTTAATGGTAAAACAGAAATTTTAAAGGTGAAATTAAAAAACACTACGTAAAAACACTATGCAGAAAAGCTACGTAAAAACACTACGTAAAACACTACTCAGAGAAAAAACGCACTACGTAAAAACACCACGCAACCACACACACACACACACTACGGAGAAGCAGTACGTACGTGAGCACGTCACATCTGCACAGTACGTGTGTGACCAGGGAGGTCTCGTGAGCGGGCGCTCCAGCGGCTGGCGCGGCCCTGCGAAGTCCGGACGACGAGGGCATTCTGCGTAGTGTTTTTACGTAGTGCTTTCAGGGGCGCCCCGAGACGGCAACGCTGCTACGCGGGAACAACACACCCGAAACCCCACGCAGCAGCATGCCGCGTCGCCCGCGTCTCTCGTCACCGTTGGCCGAGGCCGCGGGGAGTTGCGGATTCGGGCGGAACTGGCGCGAAACGCGGGCGACGGGGGCATTCTGCGTAGTGTTTTTTTACGTAGTGTTTCCAGGAACGCCCCGAGCCGGCAAGCAACCACGTAGCAAACAACGACGCCCAAACCCGCGTTGCCCGCGTCTCACGTCACGTTCGCCCAAGGTCACGGGGAGCCGCTGTTTCGAGCGGAATTCGCGCGAGATGCTGGCGACGGGGGCATTCATTCTGTGTAGTATTTTTACGCAGTGCGTGCAGGAGCGCCCCGAGTCGGCGCGCCACCACGCCAACGCGCCCAAACCCTTGCGCAGCAGCGTGCCGCGTCGCCAGCGTCTCTGGACAGTTTCGCCCGACGCCGTGGGGGGCTGCGGATTCGGGCGGACCTGGCGCGAGACGATGCCCACGAAGACATTCATTCTGCGTAGTGTTTTTACGTAGTGCGTTCAGGAGCGCCCCGAGTCGGCGCGCTACTACACGGAAACAACACGCCCGAATCCCAACGCAGCGCGTCGCCCGCGTCTCACGTCACGTTCGCCGCAGGGGGCGGGCAGTTGCGGAGGCGTGGAAAGGGGGGGGGAGGGGGGTGGGGGGAATTTGGACCGATATTTGGTAGAACTGGAGTACAGGGAGGAGGAGGAGGAGGAGGAGGAGGAGCAGGAGGAGGAGGAGGACGAACTTTGGACTGATATGGAGGAGGAGGAGGGGGAAGAGGAGGAACATTCAAGGACCGATACCAGGTAGCCGCGCATAGGAGTAGGAGTAGGAGGAGAGGGAGGAGGAGGAGGAGGAGGAGGAGGAGGAGGAGGAGGAGGAGGAGGAGGAGGAGGAGGAGGAGAATACACTACGCCAATACACTACGCCAATACACTACGCAAGCGCACTCAGTACATACACGACCCGAATGCACGACGCAAAACAACTACGCAAAAAACACTACGCAGATGCGCTACGCAAATATACTACGCGAACATACTACGCACAATCACTACGCAAACACACTGCGCAAACACACTGCGCAAACAAACGCTTCGCGAAAAAACACTACGCAAAAACACTACACAAAATCACTGCGCGAAAGCACTACGCAAAACACACCTACGCACAAAAACACGACGCCGACACACTACGCCAATACATTACGCAAACGCACGCAGCACATACACGACGCACATACACGACGCAAATACACTACGCCAATACACTGCGCAAGTACACAACGCAAGCGCACTCAGCACATACACGACGCGAATGCGCTACGCCAACACATTACGCAAACGCACTCAGCACACACACGACGCAAACACACGACGCGAATACGCTACGCAAGCGCACTCAGCACATACACGACGCGAGTACACGACGCAAAAACATGTACGCAAAAACACTACGCAGATGCGTTACGCGACTACACTACGCGAATACACTGCGCAGAAAACACGACGCAAAAACATTACGCAAATACGCTACGCAAGAAACATTACGCAAACACACTACGCAAAATCACCACGCAAACGCGCTACGCGAAAAACGCGACGCAAATACACTACGCCAGTGCACTACGCCAATACACTACGCAAACGCACTCAGCACATACACGACGCAAATACGCTACGCCAACACATTACGCAAACGTATTCAGCACACGCACGACGCAAGTACACGACGCGAGTAGGCCACGCAAAAACATTACGCAGATGCGCTACGCAAAAACACGACGCAGAAACACTACGCCAAAACACACTACGCGAAAACACTACGCGAAACCACTACGCAAAAACACTACGCAAAAACGCTAAGCAAACACAGTGCGCGAAAAACGCTACGCAAAAGCACTGTGCAAAATCGCTACGCAAAAGCACGATGCAAAAACATCACGCAAATACACTACGCCAATACACTACGCAAGCGCACTCAGCACATACAATAGGCAAATACAAGACGCAAATGCACTGCGCAAATACACTACCACAATACACTACGCAAGCGCACTCAGCACAGACACGACGCGAATACACGACGCAAAAACACCACGCAAAAACACTACGCAGGTGCGCTACGGGAACGCACTACGCGAAAACACTACGCTTAAAAACACTACACAAAAGCACTGCCCAAATACACTACGCAAAAGCACTACGCGAAAAACACTACGCAAAAACACTGCGCAACATCACTACGCGAAAGCATTACGCAAAAACACTACGCAAATACACTTACGCCAACACACTACGCCAATACACTACGCAAACGCACTCAGCACATACACAACGCAAATACACGACGCAAATACACTACGCAAATACACTACGCAAACGCACTCAGCACACACACGACGCGAGTATGCGACGCAACATCATTACGCAAAACACTACGCAGATGCGCTACGCACACACACACACACACACTACGCGAAAACACTGCGCAATAAAATACTACGCAAACGCACTACGCGAGAAAACACTACGCGAAAAACACTACGCAAAAAAACACTACGCAAAAACACTCCGCAAAAACACTACGCAGATTTATTTAACCCTTGGGCATACCTCTCTCATCAAGTTGTGTGGTTGAGCGATGCGGCGCACGCCGACGGCGCGGCCGCCCAGCGCACGATGCACCCACGAGGCGCCCGCGGGCGGGCAGCAGGCGAGGGCTCGGCCGAACCACCCGGGGCACGGAGCGCGGGCACCGGGCGCATCTGCGGCGGACCCACCCGGCGCACGAAGCGCGCAGGAGGTGCCGACGCGCGAACACCGGATGAAGTCGGAAGCCGGGCAAGGGCTGCTAAATCCGTGGCTGCTAAAATCGAACTCCGGGAAGTTGTCCTCGTCCTTCCGGGAAGAAGCCCGTTGACTGTTTCGCGTGCCGTGCCGGTTTGAGCAGCCTTCGCCCAGCTTCCGATGGAGGTCGGCTAACCCGTCCTTGTCTCTGGGGCCCGAGGTCAGACCCCCTGAGTGCGAGCACTGCCTGGGGACTTAATTTCGGGACGCCTCGGGGAACGCGGCGACGGCCCCAAATCCGTTCAAGATTTGTGTCTTGAGCCCGCCCGGGGTCCACCCGGACCCGCTTTCGAGGCGGATCCTAGCCGCGGCGACGAGAGGCGGATCCAGGAGGCCCCCAAGAGGACGAAGCCCACGAGCGGCGAGCGTGTCCGTATCCGCGCCCTCGCGATCTGGATTCCGTGCCGCGGCTTCGCGGATGGGCAGTCGCATTGGAAGGAGGAGAAGCGACACCAACACCACCAGGGGCCCACCTCCAGCGATGAGGTCGACAATGCCTCCCCGAGCTGGAGGCTGGGGATGTCTCGAGCGAGAGGGGGGGACCACACCACCAGGGAGTCCTCCCTTGCCTCCTCGCTTCTCTTCGCCCTGTTGGTGTTGGTGTCGCCTCCCCTTGTTTCTATCGCAGGGATACGTTCCGCGCGGGGCATCCACGGACAGAAGCGCTCCGTGGCCACGGGGTCGCGTCCCACGAGGGGCCCGGCCCACGAGGGCCCACGAGGCCGCGGACGAACGTGTCTTTGGCTCTGGTCCACGAGATACAGGCGCCAGTCGCTGCTGCGAAAGAGGGTGTGGAGAGCCTAGACGAGGAGGAGAGGAGGAGGAGGAGGAAGGAGGGGGAGGAGGGGGGGTGAGATGGAGAGGGAGAGAAGAGGGAGAGGGAGCGGGAGAGGGAGCGGGAGGGAGAGGGCGAGGGAGGAGGAGGACCTAGAGGGCCTAGATGACCTAGTGGACCTAGAGGACCTAGAGGAACTGGAGGACCCAGAGGACCTAGAGGACCTAGAGGACGAGGAGGAGGAGGAGGAGGAGGAGGAGGAGCAGGAGGAGGAGGAGGAGGAGGAGAGAGGAGGAGGAAGAGGAGGAGGCGGAGGAGGAGGAGGAGGGGGGAGGAGGAGGTTGTTGGAGGTGTTCGGCCGCCCGCCCCAGGCGGGCCGATCCGACGACTCGGACGCTGTGGCCGACGGCGGCGAGGAGGCTGGGTGGCGGACGCCGCCGCGGCGGACGGCGGACGCCGCGGCGGACGGCGGCGGCGCGGTGCAGCGCAAGCTATCGTTCGCGAGGGGCGACCCCGCCCGCCGCTGGCCGCTCTGACAGACACTCTTGCGCCTCGAGGCGGCTCGAAAGTTTCCAGAAGTTTCCGAACGTTTCGGAGGCCCAGGGTGGTTTCCATCGGCTGCGCCTCGGCGAGGGCGTTCCCGGGGTGCCCAGATCGTCCCGAACGGTCGCCAGAGAGCCGAGCTATGCCCCGACAGCCACGGGGCAGGGTCCTCCTTCCCTCCTTCCAGGCGTTTTTTTCACACCAGGTGTTTTCGCCTGGCTTCGGGGCCCTCGCAGATCGATTCGGCTCGAAAAATGCAGCAGACAGATGAGATCTAGGGCGTGGGTCGCTATTTTTCAAGATGCTGTTGTTTTGTTCGTGACGTCGGATCTCACGGAGCAGCCAGTTTTCCGCGATCGTGATCTTTAGGAGGCCAGCTTCGGGGCCCAGGTCCATCAGAAAATGAACGATCGATGATCCTCAGGAGGTGTGTTAGCCAAATTTGTGCTTACACCGGTCGGAGCCGGTGTAGGGCCTTCTTTGACCGCCTGCGTCGTATTGAAGGTCTTCGGTGGACGAGCACACGTGGGCGCTACTGCAATCCTTCTGGGGATCATCGGAACGACTCGGGATGAGATGCTAACCGTGGCCGGGGGTCCAGAGAGGGGGGGCAGGTCTGGAAGAAGTCGAGCCGCCGGAAGTCTGGGCCGTTGCCGCCGAAGCCGCGTCGCCGCGTCTTGTTGGCCACAAACATTTCCGTACCCACCGACTCGTTGGCTGGGCCCCTGGGCCGCGACCCCACGGATGCGGGTTGCTGTTCCGCGGATGCCCCGCTTGTGACGCATCCGTACGACCGCGCATCCGCGGGATCGCGCCCCGGAGTCCAGACCGTGATCACCACCTACCAAACCACCCCAACCCAACCCGAAGGCCTCAATTTGCCCTCCATTTCCAGTGTGGGTGGGTGGGTCGGGGAACATTGTGAAAACACATATGGAACCCGTACCCCCCCCAACCCGACATTCGGGTCTTCGGGTTGGGTTGGGGTGGTCTGGTAGGTAGTCACGCGAGGGCGCGGATGCGGATGTGTTCGCCACTCGTGAGCGTCGCAGTCGTTGTCGGCGTTGCCTCCTCCCTCGTCGCCAGCGCCGTCCGTCTCATGCTCTCGCGGACAATGGCGCATGCTGGACACGCAGTGCCGTTGGGTCGGCGCCGGTTTGCCCAGGGCTGGCCCGCAGGGGCGGCTCAGTCGCCGACATGCCTTCTTCGGAGCCTGCGCAGCCTTCACCTTCCCTGTCGATGGCGCCCTCCTCCTCCTCCTGCTCCTCCTCCTCTTTCTCGTGATTTGCGTGCTCTGATAAGTTCAGCGCGGGGGGGATCGCTGGTGGGCCACCCAGAACGAATGCAAAAACAGCCCGCCGCAGGCGCCGAACATTTTGGCTTGTTCAGAGAACGTAGTTTGGGTCGCGGGTGGGTCGCGGGCTCTCCACCTCCACCTGGAAGGGATTCAAGAACAGCCCGCCGCAGGCGCCGAACATTTTGATTTGCACACTGAACGCGGTTTGGGTCGCAGGTTCTCCACCTGGAACGTATGCAAAAGAACCCCGCCGCAGGCGCCGAAGTTTTGGCTTGTTCAGAGAACGTAGTTTGGGTCGCGGGTGGGTCGCGGGCTCTCCACCTCCACCTGGGAGGAATTCAAAAACAGCCCGCCGCAGGCGCCGAAAATTTTGACTTGTACACTGAACGCGGTTTGGGTCGCGGGTGGGTCGCAGGTTCTCCACCTCGAACGAATGCAAAAGAAGCCCGCCGCATGCGCCGAAAATTTTGGGTGGGTCGCGGGGTGGGTCGCGGGTGGGTCGCGGGGGTCGCGGGTGGGTCGCGGGCGCGGTTTGGGTCGCGGGTGGGTCGCAGGTTCTCCACTTGGAACGAATGCAAAAGAAACCCGCCGCAAGCGCCGAAAATTTTGGGTGGGTCGCGGGGTGGGTCGCGGGTGGGTCGCGGGTGGGTCGCGGTGGGTCGCGGGTGGGTCGCGGGTGGGTCGCGGGGGGGTCGCGGGGGGGTCGCCGGGGGGTCGCCGGGGGGGTTCACGGGTGGGTCGCGGGCGGGTGGCGGGGTGGGTCGCGGGTGGGTCGCGGGTGGGTCACGGGTGGGTCGCGGGGTGGGTCGCGGGTGGGTCGCGGGGTGGGTCGCGGGTGGGTCGCGGGTGGGTCGCGGGGTGGGTCGCGGGTGTGTCGCGGCGCGGGTCGCGGGCGGGACGACGACAACAAACAACAAACAAGACACAACACACAACACACAACAACAACAACAACAACAACAACAACAACAACAACAACAACAACAACAACACACAGCACACAGCACACAACACACAACACATAACACATAACACATAACACACAACACACAACACACAACACACAACACACAACACACAACAATACCAACAGCAGCAACAACAACACACCAACAACAACACACAACAACAAACAACAAACACCAAACAACATACAAAACACAACACACAACACACAACAACAACCACACCAACAACAACACACAGCAACAACAACAACAGCAACAACAACACACAACACACATCAACAACAACAACAACAACAACAACAACAACAACAAACAACAAACACCAAACTACACAACAACAACGACAACACCACTAACAACAACAATAACAACAACACCAGCAGCAACAACAGCAACAACAATACCAACAGCAACACCAACAACAACAACAACAACAACATGCGAGGGCGCCGCGCTTCTATTCATGTCTGTAACTGGTTGTTTTAGACACTCGCGTACGGCGCTCGAGCGGGAGTGCAGCGAGTCCAGTCGCGTCTAACGCAAAATATAGACGTCTTCCCGGGTTCTCCTCCCCCCCCCCCCGCGGCCGCCTGCTCTGCCCTCCTCTCACTCCTGCGTGCTGGCCACTTCGCCTGCAGGTGCCCCCGCCCAGCTCTTTCGCCGGTGCAGCCAATGCTGCCTCGCCGCCAACGAACACAAAAGCTATTCCAAGCAAGCGCCCGGCCGTGGGCCACCCCACGCCCCCGCCCTTCCGCCGTGGGGGACCCCCCTCCCCCCGCGAGGCAACCCGCCCCACTTCTGCGTGGCCGCGAGAGGCGTCCCGCAGGAGCTCGCGCGCGGCGCGGGGCGGGGTGGCCGGCGCGGGGGCCCGGGGTCCGGGGGCGGCGTGGCTCAAGCAGTGGCGAAGCGTCTTGGCGTGCCTGTAGGCCTACCAAGGAATATTCTGAGAACCTGCTGTGGTTGGCACGAAAGGTTCTTAGATCATTTCTGGCTGAGATGGTCGTGTTTTTTTAACACATCGGGTTTATGTTCTAAGAACACCGCCTGTGTTCTTAAAGAACATTTTTAGGTTCTAAGGGAAATTTCGTGGTAGGCCTATAGGAATGCCCGGACGGTCGGTCCCTGCTCAAGTTCTGGACACCCGAAATGGGTACCGAAAGAATGGGTACAATGCCCAACAGCAAATGTTGTCCCAAACCAACAGCGGCCGCTGTTGGGCAGGCGGCCTCCTGTCTCGAATGGACACAGGCCGCGGCGGCGTGGACAGCGAATCCTGTTCAGAATGAACAGGAACTGCTGTTGGGCATCGTACCCATTCTTTCCGTGCCCATCTCGGGCGTCCAGACAAGTGGCGGTTTCCCCTCGCAGGCCGAGCCCTCCCATGACGACCCCCTCGCCTCGCAGGGGCAGCGTTGGGGGGGAATCAGGGCTCATTTCGATGCCGCCGATTCGATTCGATGCGGTTTCGATTCGATTTCGATTCCGATCCGGTTCGATTTCGGATTCCGATTGGGGATCCGATTCCTCACCGGAGGACTGGCCCGCCGATGTCTGCCGATCCGAGTTTTCCCGACTCGGCTGCCGGTATCCGTCGATCCGGTTCATGTCGATCGCCGATCCGATTTGCCAATTCGATTTTGGGCTCTCCTGGTGGATACGGTCGGGAGCTCTCAGCGCCTCGCTCCGCCAGTGCTGGGCCACCGCGCTGCGGCGCGACACGCCGGCCACGTCCCAGTCCCCGGGCGTCAACGCCACGAGCTTCTCCCGGCCCCCCGGCCCCGAGGAGCGGAGCGACACGCTGGCATCACCTCGCAAGTCGCAGCACGTCGCCGGGGCCGCCGCCGCGGCACGCTCAGCAAAGGTTCCCGACCTTCGGCTCAGGGGGGGGATGCATCGACCCCAGTCGCACATCTTCTCGCCGGCAGGGGCCCGATGGCCCTCCCCGCCCGGGAGAGTGCGGATTCTCCATCGGGGGCCTGTCGTCGACCTGTCGGCCTCGTATCGCCGATTTCAGGTCGATGTTTTCACCCCCCTGAGGAAGTCCACCACTAAGGAGGAGGAGGAGGAGGAGGAGAGGAGGAGGAGGAGGAGGAGGAGGAGGAGGAGGAGGAGGAGGAGGAGGAGGAGGAGGAGGAGGAGGAGGAGGAGGAGGAGGAGGAGGAGGAGGAGGAGGAGGAGGAGGAGGACGGAGGAGGGAGGAGGAGGAGGAGAGGAGGAGGAGGAGGAGGGAGGAGGAGGAGGACGGAGGATGAGAGGAGGAGGAGGAGGAGGAGGAGGAGGAGGAGGAGGAAGGAGGGGAGGGGGAGGAGGAGGGGGAGGAGGAGGGAGGAGGAGGAGGAGGAGGAGGAGGAGGAGGAGGAGAAGGAGGAGGAGGAGGAGATGCAGGAGAAGGAGGAGGAGGATGCAGGAGGAGGAGGAGGAGGAGGAGGAAGTCCACCACTAACGTTGCCCCTCATCCTCGCTCCAAGACGTGGGCAAGCTTCCAGGGGGGCGGGGCCTCGAGGGCGAGGGGTCAGTCACGGACGGGGGAGTGCGGTGTGCTTGAATTCGCCTCGTGTTCAGCCTTGGTCGAGCGATCAATCAGTCGGGGCTCCCGCCGTGGGGGCCTGCACTCGCAGTACTACTAGCGCACGGTAGGTCGCACAATTCGAAATTCATTTCGATTGCTGTCTTGTCGGAGTTATGCTCGACTCGGCCCGTTACCGCTTCGCCGCCGCCGCCGCCGCCGCCGTCCTCCTCCTCCTCCTTCCTCTCCTCCTCACTCCTCCTCCTTCCTCCTCCTCCTCCTCCTCCTCCTCCTCCTATCCCCCCTCCTTCCCCCCCCCCCTCCTCTCCTCCTCCTCCTCCTCCTCCTCCTCACCTCCTTCCTCCTCCTCCTCCCCTCATCCTCCTCCTCATCCTCCTCCTCCTCCTCCTCCTCCTCCTCCTGGGGGCCGACTCCAGGGAGGGAGTCGGCCCCCAGGGTTTTGCCGACAAGGGGTTTGCCGGATCCGGCATGGGGGGGGGACCGAAGAATGGAAGACGTTTCGGCCTGGGGTTACACTTTTCTCGGGTTGCACGAGCGTCAGTGTTTATCCAACGCCCGGTGTTCGGGCTTGGGGGACTGGAGGGGGGAGAGGGAGAGTGGGGGTCAAGGATCAGCATTGCTCGACGCGTGTCCCTGGCTGTGCTTGCCTCCTCCCCGTGACCCATCTGTGGGAAGCTCACCTCACGGAAGTCCACGGAGGAGGAGGAGGAGGAGGAGGAGGAGGAGGAGGAGGAGGAGGAGGAGGAGGAGGAGGGAGCTTTCAAGCGCAGCTGCCAGGAGGCTCGCTGCAGGCGTGCCCGCTCGCTTCCGGGGCACAGTGCAGCGCCGGCGCTGTTGCGGGGAAGCTCACCCCTGGCCTCCGAGCGTGCCCGTCCGCTTCTGGCGCAGGTCCGCCGCGCCGCCCCGTGGGTCGCGGATTGCCCTTGTTGGGGTTCCTGTGATGGGCCGGTTTTCCACCACCGCTACCATAAGTTGGAGGGGGAGAGGAGGAGGAGGAGGAGGAGGAGGAGGAGGAGGAGGAGGAGGAGGAGGAGGAGGAGGAGGAGGAGGAGGAGGAAGACCCCCTTCCCCTCCAACTTCTGGTGGTGGCGGTGGTGGAAAACAGGCCCATCATCCTGGGGCGCCCTCGTGGCCATTGCTTGGTCCGCCTTCGGAGAGCACCCCAGGAGATCGACGGGATGTCCGCGTCGTTTCGACGCGGCGGCGACCTCGCCGCGGGCGTGCAAGACGGAACGCTGCCAGCGGCCCAGTGTCGGCCACCAGGGGTCGAGCTGGCGTTCCACGCGGGGTCAGGACCCAACGCCATGGGGTCGTCACGACACGGACCTGCCATCCCAGACCCCCGACGTCATGATGCTGTTCACCACGCGATCCCCCAGCGGTCTCGACCCATTCCCCGGGACCGGGCTTTCATCCTGAGTCGTTGTTCGACGGCCCCACGGCCCAGCGAGGGCCCCCAGAGGCAGAACACAGCAAAACAAACCTCCTGTCGTGGCTTTTTTTGTCGTGGCTAAAGAGGGGTCGGCAAGATGGGAGCTCGGTCTTGAAGGGTGAAGAGGCAAGCCTCTTTTGGCGGCTCGAGAGAGAGCCCATCAGAGTTCGGTCATGCGATACTCGGAGCCCAGTAATTCTTGTCTGAGCCCTCGCGCTGTGGCGAGAGCTGCTCGGGGACGACATCGAGCATCTGGAGCGCCAGGGGCCACGCATCGTGTGCCTGCCACGCCTGGATCGAAACAGATAGTATGGATGGGTCACATTGTGGTCGTTTTCTTATGCCTTGTTTTCCCGATCGGCGCGGGCCTCGCACCCCCCCTCCCCCCCCCAATGGAGTAGATCTTGAGTGTTTTTGACGTCTGTTTCAAGCAGGTGGAGTCCCTCCCATAGGACGCACTGTTGCAAACAGTCGCACGAAGCAGAGGTCCGGAGCCAGACACCCCTCCCTTCCGCCCAATGTCGAAACACCGAATGAGAAAACGTTCACCTTCACTAAGGTAATTACCTTTGCATCTGTGCCTCCTCGGTCCATCCTGAACCCCTTTCGATTGCCAGCCCCGCTCGAGAAGCCTCGACATGGGCGTCCAGGTGGCTTGCATCCTCATCGCGCGCCCCTGCGATCCGTTTTGGCTATACCCCGGCCTGGAGGAGCGGCAGCGGACGCGGGCCGATTCCGCGGCGGCGCCCCCCGCCGGCCGGCCGGGCGGCTGCTGCGACCTGGCCGGGAGCCCGCAGAAGAGCAGCTTGAGGACCGCCCCGCGCGGCCGCCGCCACGGCGACGACGGGCCCAGGCCCCCTCGGGAGTTCTGGGACGGGGGTCAATTTTAGGGGAACAAAAAGTGGCATAAACATAAAAACTCGGAGGTCCGCGCGGATTTCTCGGATCGGCGCTGGAGCCCCCTCCCTGGCGCGCGGAGCGCGCCAGGGGCGGCGCCGGAGGCGCCGCCGGGAGGCCCCAGTGCCGATCCGAGAAATCCGCGCGGACCTCCGAGTTTTTATGTTTATGCCACCTAAATTTCCAGGCAGAACCAAAAAACCACAACCACAGAGAAGTGGATGTTTCGGGCATGCCCGTCGTAGAACACGACCGGACGCGAGGCTCTTGGCCGTGTTCGGCCTCGGGGAGCCTTCGCCAGGCCTCGGGGCCGTCCAACAACGACTCGGGATGGAAAACCGGTCCCAGGGAAAAGGTCGGGACTTCAAGGACCCCGTATTGGAAAAAAGCAGGGCGTCGTATGTTTGGGAGAGGGCCCCTCGGGGGATAATCCTCTGACCTCGGCATGAGCACATTGGTTGCGGTTGTGGTCGATCTGGCCGTCCTGGGGCGCCACATCGACAACAACCAGCACGAAGCTGGTTCTGGTGCTCCTACAGTTCTTGGCATGCGCAAGAAATCCTCCAGGGTGTGTCCTCCAGGGTGGGTCAGCCAGAGCGCCGGATCTTGCAGGATCCTACAAAACCAGGCCTGCATTGGCCCCTGCCCCTCGCACAGGATCCTGCAGGATCAACAGGATCCTGCAACGCCTGACTGACCCGGGACCTGGGTCAGTAGAAGCCCGACCCCTCCCCTCGATCCCAGACCCCCGACGTCATGGTTTTGTTCATAGTAACATCGACCCTTGGAGGTGTCCACCCAGTTTTTTATCCTGAGTTGTTTTTCGACGATCCCGAGGGCTGGTAAGGGCTCCCAGGGGCCGAAAATAGCAGCAAACTGTCCGTCATGAGCTGTTCATCACCCGAGGTGGTTTGGGGCTCTCGATCCTTGATCCCAGAGCCCCCACCCGGCCCTGCAAAACAGGCACGGCGGGAGTTCTTTTTGTCCGCAACTGGTCGGGCTTCCAAGGGGGGCCTCGACCCTCCCTGCAGGGGGCCCCGGGGGGGCCGTGAGAAAGATCGGCAGGGCGGAGCGCCAATCCTGGGGACCGGGTCGAGACCTCTGGGGGTCGACGCTGCAAGGGCTCGTTTCGATTCCTCCGACTCGATGCGATTCGACGGCGATGCGACTTCGGATTCCGTTTTTGAGGTTCCGATTGCTCATTGGAGGCATACGAATTCGCCTGCCGATCTCCGCCGATTCGACTTTTCCCGACTCGGCTGCCGATTTCCGCCGATTCGATTAATTTCGATCGCCGATCCGACTTATCGATTCGACCCTGGGCTCTCCTTACGTTGTGAACAGATCATGACGTCGGGGTCCTGGGATTCCTGGAGGTCTTCCTCCCCCTCCATTCTTCCGCCCCTCTATCCTCCGCCCCTCCTTCTCCCCTCCTTCCCTTTCTCCTGCGCCCCCCCGTCCGCTTCTCTTTCACCTTCTCTCCTTCTCTTCCTTCCTTCCCCTTGTCCCCTTCCTCTTCCTTCCTCCTTCCCCTTATCAGTGTTTTCTGTTCGCCCTTCTTCCTCTCCTCGCTCCCCCCTCCCGCTAGAGGAACCGAACTAATGCCATGGGGGCGTCCATGCTGAACATCGCGGCATACGCGGGCTCCCGAGACGGCCTGATCCGAGTTTGCTCCTGTTCTTGGTCGTCCCAGACACCAAGAGGAGAAGGGAGAAGGGGGGGCATGAGGAGGAGGGAGGGACGGAGGGGGAGCGGGGAGGGAGAGGAGGATTTGCTTTTCCTCAAAATTCTCAAACATGGCCTCTCGATTCCGTGAGCAGCGGCACTGCCAGCCATCTTGTACATGGCTTTGCTCAGAGTGATCTTCCTGCAGACAATACAGTGCGATGTGTGCTGGGAGCGAGCTGGCACGCTGACATAAGCCTCCTGGCGGCAGCGCTGGCAGCAACGTTGTCAACTCGAAGTGCAATGGGAATGAGCTGGCGCGGTCGGGTGAGCTTCCTGCTGACAGCTGCCGAAGCTCGGAGGAAGCTTCCTGGCAGAGACGCTGGCAGGCAGCGCCATGTGCGCCAGGAGCGAGACGTTACGATTGGATCGAGTTTCCTGACGACAACGTTGGCGACGCGATGTGCACGAGACTCGAGGCGGCACGATTGCAGTGAGCCTGGCAGCAGCTCGAAACAGCATCGTTGGCAACGCCATATGCGCCAGACGCGAGCTGGCGCACTCGGAGTGAGCCTCCTGGAAACAATCAACGTCGGCAGCGTCGCTGGCACTCACTAGACCTCGCAACGTGAAGTGCACTGGAGGCCATCCAGCGCGCTCGGGGTGAGCTTCCTGTCCACAACCCCAAGCAACGCGCTGTGCGCTCGGAGCGAGCTGCCGATCGCGGAATGAGCTGGCAACGCGCTGTGCGCCGGCAGCGAGACTGCACGCTCGGAGGTCGCGTCTTGGCGACAACGCCGGCCACCCACCGTGCGCTGCGCCGGAAGGGAGCCGGCGCGCTCGGAGCGAGCCTCCTCGCAGGAAGGCGGTGGCAGCGCGAAGGGGAGTGGAGGGGGGCCCGCACGCGCGCTCCTCCTCCTCCTCCTCCTCCTCCTCCTCCTCCTCCTCCTCCTCCTCCTCCTCCTCCTCCTCCTCCTCCTCCTCCTCCTCCCCGTGGCGCACGCACACGGGAGGGGCAGCGGCCCACAGTTCACTTTGTGAGCCCCTGACGTCCGTTACGGGGGGGGTTTCAAGCAGTGGCGAAGCGTCCCTGCGTGCCTATTAGGCTCACCAGACAATGTTCTAGGGACCTTTCGCTGTGGTTTCCACGGCATGTTCTCAGAACACTTCTGGCCGGGATTGTCTTGTTGTGTTTAACACATCGGGCTTATGTTCTAAGAACCGTGTTGTTGTTCTTAGAGCATTGTTGGGTTCTAATAACATGTCGTGGTAGGCCTATAGGAATGCCAGGACGGTCGGTCCCTGCTCAACACTTTCCCCCTCCCTCCCCGTAGCGGTACCGAGCGTGCGCTGGGGAGGTGGGAGGAGGCCCGTTTCCCCGCAGGCAGTGCGCGGTGCTCACAGGCATGCTGCGGTGCTGACAGACATGACACGCTTTGGTGCTCCCAAGCTCCCAAGCGCATGCTGTGGCGCTGGTAGGCCCGGCCCCCCCCCCCCCCTCCCTCCCTCCCTCCGTAACGCACGTTGCGGGGCAGGATTGAAAAAGCCAATCTCGACGGGCAATGGCCCAGGGCACCGTAGGTAGTAAGGTGTCGAGGGGTGAGGGAGCTATTGAATCAAGCCTGGGTAATGAGGGGGTGCCTCAGGGCGAAACAACTTCCTGGGGGAGGGATCGAGAGCTCTGGTGCTCACGCAATGAAAAACACGACGACGGAGCCTCGGAGGTCGTGGGATGAGATGGACCGGGGAAGGGAGGGAATAAAAGTAAGAGGGGAAGAGCGGGAAGGCTTCTCCATTGTGTGATTTGTTATCTAAAAACAAATCCTGATGGGGGGCCTTTGGGGATCCTCCTCCATCTTGCTTCCTCCACGGCAGACCGATGCACAGCAAATCAAATAAACTCAAAGAGCATCAAGCAATGAGAGGCGAATCATGTGGAGTCACAGCGAAACAAATTACATAATGCCAAGCTGGCGTGGCAAATCAAACGATCAGAACGACATTCGCAATGCGATCGTGGTGCCACGTCGCGTTGATGTGACGAATGCCGAATACAGATGGCCTGGCACGATCCAAAGTTATGTTAACGATGCGTCCGTCTGCGCTACGCGCTGCTGTGCTACACTAAGGCCTGGCACGATTCAAGAGTTCTGCTGGCGATGCGTCCGTCTACTTTTCGCGTTGCTGTGCTACTGTATATTGCACCACATAATCTTGGAACTTAGTAAAAACGTATCAGCTGCGAAAGAGCAGGTGTCCTTGTTGGAGGAGATCGATGATGATGATGATGATGAGGAGGAGGATAAGGAGATTGACGATGATGGTGATCATGATGATGACGATGATGATGATGATGATGATGATGATGACAATGACGATAACGATGACGATGACGATGGCGATCACGACGACGACGATGATGCTGATGATGATGGTGATCATGATGATGATTAGGACGATGATGATGATGACGAGGCTGATGATGATGGTGATGGTGAAGGTGATGATGATGACGGTGTTGATGATGGCCACGATGATGATGGTGTTGCCGATGATGATGACGAGTGTGATTATGGTGGTGATGATGGTGATGATGATGATGACGATGATGATGATGATGATGATGATGTCGACGATGATGATGATGATGATGATGATGATGATGATGATGATGATGATAATGATGCTGATGATGATGATGACGATGATGGCGATGACGATGCTGATGGCGATGCTGGTGATGATGACGATGACGATGATGCTGCTGATAATGATGATGATAATGATGCTGGTGTACAGGGAGGAGGAGGTGGAGGAGGAGGAGGCTTTCTTCCTGCTACTGGAGAAGGTCAACGAGAAAGGGAGCGGCGGAGGATGGGGATGAAGAGAAGCTCACCCTCCTCTCGCACCTCATCTGTTTTCTCCATTTTTGGTTTCGGCTTCCTTAGTGACGGTCTGTTGAGTCCTGCATCCTTCTGCCGGCTCCCAGAGGTCTCTGATGAGCCAGCCGCCCATCTAATTGGCCACATGGGTGGGGGGTGTTAATTGCTCACCCCCTCCTCCCACCAGGTTGCCCCCTCGCCGAGTCGCGTTCGAGGACTACCCGACCCAACCCTACCTCCGCGATCGCTACTCCTCAGACCTTTCCCGGGCTGCGTTTAGACCAGAACGTCGAGGCGAATCCATCCATGGCGACGAGAGCCTCTCAGGGTGCCCCAAAAGAAACAAAAACGAGGCGAGGGCAGCGGTGTCAGTACCTCTTATTTCCCCCAACTCCCCTCCGCCCCCCCCCCCGCCCGACGACGAAGACGGAGATGACGACAACGACGACGACGACAACGACGACGACGACGACGACGACGACGAAGACGACGACGACGACGACGACGACGGCGGCGGCGGCGGCGGCGGCGGCGGCGGCGGCGGCGAGCGCCCGCGGGGCGCGCGCCGCCTTGTGGCGTGGTGGCCGAGGCCGAGCGGAGTGGCGCGGGCGCCGCGTCGGACGGCGAGGGCGAGGCCGGCGCGCCGAGGGACACGAGGCCCGGCGTGGGCGCCGCCGTCGCCGTCGCCGTCGCCGTCGCTGTGGCCGTCGGCGCCGTCGCCGTCGCCGTCGCCTTCGCCGTCGCCGTCGGCGCCTCCTCCTCCCCCTCCTCCTCCTCCTCCTCCTCCTCCTCCTTCTCCTGCTCCTGCTCCTGCTCCTCCTCTCTCCTCCTCCTCCTCCTCCTCCTCCTCCTCCTCCTCCTCCTCCTCCTCCTCCTCCTCCTCCTCCTCGTTGCCGTCGTGGCCGCCGCCGTCGCTGGTCGGTGGCATCCAGGCGTCTAAGTTCTTCCAGGCCGGGTGTTGTCGCCCAGTTTCGGGCCAAGGGGCCCTCGCAGATCGATCCGGCTCGAAAGCTTGGGGAGATGGATGGGGACCTCGGGCGTCGGTCGTGATTTTTTGTTCGCTCGGTTCTCTGCGTTCGCCACGTCGGATCTCAGGGGGTGGCGCGAGGGGCGCGGCCTTCTGAAAAGGCGTGTGGGGCCTCTCAGAAGGCAGCGGCCTTCTGAGGAGGGCTTGAGTTGCCTTCTAGCAAGGCTTCTTCGAAGCCGCCAGACTCTCCTAAGGCGGCCCCTGCCTTCTAAGAAGCCCCATCCGCCTTCTCAGAAGGTTGCCCCCCTCGCGCCAGCCCCTGTGGGGTGGAGCCAACGTCGGGGGGAAATTTCGGGTTCGAGGTTCGAGGCTCGAGGTTTTCAAACGTTCTCACAGGTTCCCAGCGGTCTTCCCAGGGGTGCCTTCCGGCAGCTGCACCTGGCCGAGAGCACTCTGGGGCTGCCCAGATCGCCCCAAGTGACGACTATAAAACCAAAGGGTGGCCGCTGTCGTTTCCTGTCGTCCCCGCCGTCCAGGTACACATTGTGCATTTCTAAGTATTCGGAAGTTCTTTGATTTTTTTGGGGGGCTAAGATCCTCTCATTTCTACTTGTTCTATCCTGGGCCTCTTCCTGGCCACTGGGGGGCCAGGAGCAACGAGAAACGAGCCCAGGTCAGAAGTCAGCGCGATCAGAAATGAACGACGTGTGGGGGGAAGGACCCCCACCTCCTCGCGCAGCGCAAAAGCAGAGCGGCGGGAGGTGTTCACCGTCCTCGGCCTCCGGACATCACGGCGGGAGGCTGCTCACGGTTCTCGGCCTCCGGGGGCCTTCGCCTGGCCACGGGGCCGTCGGCAGTCGGCGCGGGACGGAGAGGCCCGTCTCGGGGGGGCGGCGGAGTTTTTTCGGGGGGCCGCGCCGAGAAGGAACCGAGACGACGTCTGGGTCCGGGGGGGGGAGGAGCAGGAGCCGCAGGACAGGAAGGGGGGCGAGGAGGAGTCCATGCGCTTGGGGAGAGGTGCAGGGGATCGTCTTTCGAGGAGGGGGGAGGAGGAGGGGTCGGGGAGATGGGGGGAGGGAGCCAGGACCCTCTCGCGCCGTGCGAGTTCTGCAGCAAAAGCAAGGCGGCCAATGTGCTTTTCGGTTCAGGCATATGAGAGGCCCTTTTCGCTCCCTGGGCCCTGATTCGATCGACCCTGAGCCTTGGGCCGCGCACTAAATCCCGCTGGGCTCTGTGCCGTACGCAGATTGCTCAAGCGTAGTGCCAGCATGCGTGCACTAAAGAGCAGCATGATAACATACCCACGTGTGAGATAACATCCTGAATCCGTGAGCCCTCCCACATTTCACGAAAACGAGCGAAAGTCCTCGCAAAGCGGATTTAGTCTGGAACCTTCCCGCACGCCTGGATTGATGACGCCTGGATCGGCCGCGTTCCTGTCAGCGGGCGCCGATTTGGACAGAGATCTGCCAGCCATAGCTGCACCCCGGCAGGCAACGACGACGACGAAAGGAGATCGCCAGGAGGGGAGAACCACGGGCGAGCGGAGCCAGAGGGGCCACGTGGCCAGGAGATCCAGGAGAGCAGCATGCGGAGCCCCACCTCGGGCCCCAGCGGGAGCCCTCGATTTCCGAGGTGGCGATCTGACCATGACCACCGCCTGCGGAATCGATCCTCGGGGACCTCGGTGGACTTGGACACCCCAGACCCCCGACGTCATGATTTGTCACAGCGTCGGCCCCCAGAGGTCTGGACCCGTTCCCTGGGAGCGCGCCTCTTTGTGCCCCGAAGAGGCCCTGCAGAGGCCCCCCATGGCGGGCCCAAGAGGGGCACGACGGGTGCACGCTTCTTTCCCCCGCCCATTTGACCGCCCTCCCCTCTTACGCAACGCCCGAACGGGTGCCCGTCGTGGTCTGTTGTTCCACGGCGCGAGCGCGTCTGGGAGTGCCACGCTCTGGGGTCGCCCGCCCTCCCGCGCCCCGGGCGCCTCCGGGGCGACCCGCGCAGGGCTCCCCCGCCTGCCGGCGGGTCGCCCTGCCGACGGATCAGGACCGGGCCGCTTCCGCAGCCCCTCCGCCTCTCTGCGCCGGGCGAGCTGAAGCCGTCGGTAATTACTGTATCGATTTTCCGATCCCCATCCCCATCCCCTTCGAGACCCCCACCAACTTACCACCTCAGTTGGGGATACACCCCTCGAAACCCGAAGGGAACGGCCTATATCCCCATCTAGGGGGGTAAATCGGCCAGTGGGGCCCAGGCCACGCCGCTGGGGATGGGGATCGGTTCAACGATACTCAAGCCGCTGAGCTGGAGAGTGCCGCGGACGAGACGAAGAGCAAAGCGTCGGTGCAGGCGGAGAGGACAAGTACATGATGCCGCGGGACAGGTGCAGGTAAAGTGGTGGAAATGAAGAGAGCAGTGGCCTGGCAGGGCAGGAATTACTTGGTCCGCGGAAGTGAGCTCCTCCGCTTCCTCCCTCTGCTCCAGCCTCCCTCGCGCCATGGCTGTTGCTCTGGATCTCCTCCTCGGCGCTTCCAAGTCCCAGCGGAAGGAAGATGTCTCCAGCCAGGAGAGGAGCGATGCGTCTCACAGAAGCGCGTGCCCGGGCCCTCAGCAGGACGCTGGCCGCGCTTCGGGCGCGATTCCTCCTAGCTGACTGGTGTCCACATCTGGAGCTGTGAGCATCGTCAGTCGGGTCGTGTCTCCCTCTACTCCAGCCCTCCCTTATCCCCCCCTACCTCTTCGTCCCTCTCGTCAATCCCCTCCCTCTCCTCACCCCTCCCTCTTTCCGTCGCGAACGTTGCCCCTCTCTCCTCCCCTCTCGATGTCATCACCGCTTCCCGCTCCGCTTCACTCCATCCCTCACCGTCGCGCCATACCCGACGCCGAACCACACCCCCGGGTCGGTTCGGGAGGTCGCCGCGGCGATCGCGGCGGCCACTACACGGGGCAAGGGTTTTGTCAATGAGGGGCATGCCAGCATAACCCGCTCCCAGCCCCCCCCCCGCTCTGCGATGCAGACGTGGCTCACAGATAGCAGTGCAGCAATCGAGAGATGGCAATCCGTGTCCAGCATGCGGGGCAGCCCCGCTCTTCTCCTCCAGGGTGCGCTTCTCGCGCAACCGCCGCACGCCCTCCCGCCCTCGCCGCCGCCCTGCAGACTCCGAGCAGCGGTGGCCCTGCAGGGCCCACGGGTTCGGCTCCCTGAGGCGCACGTGCCCGTGGCGGAGCGCCTGCCCGCCCGCCCATCTCTGCGTCCTCTTCTGGCTCCTCCTCCTCCACCTCCTCCTCCTCCTCCTCCTCCTCCTCCTCCTCCTCCTCCTCCTCTCCTCCTCCTCCTCCTCCTCCTCCTCCTCCTCCTCCTCCGGCTCCTCCTCCTCCTCCTCCTCCTCCTGCGCCCCCCCTATCTCTGCGTCCTCCCGCCTGCCCGCCCGCCCCGCCTCCTGCAGTAGCATCTAGAAGCACGTAATCGAAGGCTCTGGCCAGCCTCCCGTCTCTCTTCGACCGTCCCCCGCTTGGGGATGCGTGCCCTGTAGGCGCCGTCCCGGCCAGTGCCTCGATCCAGGGGAGCGAGCGGCGGCTTTCTCTGTCAAGGTTTTTGTTGGCTTCTGAGGGCGAAGCTCACCATCCCCAGGATCCTAGGCGAGGAGGCCAGGATGATCCTTAGCGAGGAGGCTGGCGAGGTCAGCTGACTGATATGGATTCCCAGAGGCCGCCTCGTCTCGCCCGCCTCCCGCTCCAGCTCCCGCTCCCGCTCTGTTGCTGCTGCTCGTGCTGCGCGTGACCCTGCTCGTTCCCTCGCTCTCCCCGATGTGTTCCTCTCCCTCCCTTCTCGTCTCGCGCGTGCGCGGGGTGGATGGAGGTGATGGAGGTGGGGGAGGTGGATGGCGAGGCAAAAGCCCATTCGAAGCAGCCGAGGGCACGCCGCCCCCCCCTTCCCCTCCTCTGTTTCCCCTCCCTCTGTCGCCGCTCCATTCAGTCTCCTCCCTGCTCTCCTGTTCTTCCCCTTCCCCCTCGCCCCCTCCCCATCCTCATGTCCATCCCCAACCCCTCCCTTGCCATCCTTCCCCTCCCCCCTCACTCCCCTGTCTTTTTCTCTTCCCTCCGCCCCTCTCCCGAGCGGACGGCCACTGGAGGAGCAGGAGCAATGCTATGGGGGCATCCATGCTGAACATCTCGGCGTACGCGGGCTCCCGAGACGGCCTGATCTGAGTCTGCTCCGCCATCGTGTGCCACGACACCAGTGTGCTGCGCTGGTTATAGTATGGTGTAAATCTTGGGAGGTCAAATTCAACATCAGCGCTGATACATCCGTGGTTGAAAACCACCCTAATCTGACAGAGTCCAACTTAGTCCGTCTGTCTCTGGCCCAATTCGGCTTAATCCTTGTTGTTGAATTCGCCCTGATCTGGCTTAGTAGCTCTTTCATCGGGCCGAAGAGCCCTGCGTCGGTATCACGAAGACAACACAGGAGCTGTTTCCTAGGTGTACGCCCCCCCGCGGCATGGCCTGCAGCGCTTGACTGCCAACCCCGCGGGTCGCTCCCTGGCCCGCCTTCTGCGGCAACGCGTGTCAGATCCGCCCCAGTCCGATCCGTGTCGGATCCGCCTCAATCCGCCCGATCCTCTGGCTTAGCAGCCCCTCGCCGTTTTTTCAAAGAGTCCCATGGTTTCCTACAGTGTGGACGCGGCCGCAAGAAGCCCTCGCAAGAAACCCAGCCCTGCAATTCCGCGAAGTTTCCTGTCCCCGCGCGCAACAATCTTCTAACGATCGGGAGAGGTCAGCGCGCATCGCTGGAGACAAAGACACCCAGGGCACCCTGACGAAAACCATATGGTTTCTTGGTGCGCGCCCCCACTGTAAGACCTGAGTGGCAATCCGCGCAGCGCTGTGGCGCTCTGCGCTGCGGTCCGTGGCAGCCGTGACCCCGCGAGGGCACACGCCGCCCCGCTGGACCAGGAGGAGGGCGCATTGACAGGAGCGATGGGAGAGGCCCCTTTTCTGGCTGGAGGAGGGAAGGAAGAGGAACGCGGACGAGGAGGAGGAGGAGGAGGATCAGATTTTGAAGGAGGCCGACGAGGAGGAGGAGGAGGAGGAGGAGGAAGGAGGCAGGGGGAGGAGGTCGACGAGGAAGGGGGCAGGAGGAAAGAGGAGGAGGAGGAAGACGAGGAGGAAGGAGAAAGGAGGAGGACCCTCACATCCACACGCTTCAACTTTTCCGCCGGGTCTCGGGCCCGGGGGCCCTCACAGGTCGATCTGGCCAGGAAAATGACGCGGAAATGTGGGCCTGGGGCTCCGATCGTGATTTTTCGCGATGCTGCATTTTTGCAGCGTCGGATCTCAAGGGGGAGGAGGAGGAGGAAGAGGAGAAGGAGGAGGAGGAGGAGGAGGAGGAGGAGGCAGGAGGACGAGGAGGAGGAGGAAGAGGAGAAGGAGTGGGAGGAGAAGGAGGAGGACCATCACTTGGCTCAAGGGGAGGCTAAGGGTTGGCCGACCCGACCCTAACCCGAAACCTCGTGGCTCTGGGCCACCAATTGTTAATCCACAGCGGCCATGGGTGCCGCTGAGACGGCAGTGCGCTGCCGACGCTGAATGAGGTTCTGGGACCTGGTGTGGCCTTGCACACCAAGCCGCAGCAAAAACCATACCTGCACCGCCCACGACCGTGGGAGGGGGAGAGGAGGGGCAGAGCCACTGTCGGGGCGGACTGGCAACCCCACCTGCGTGCTCAGAAAACCCCCGCAAAAGGGCACGCACAGTGAAAGGGGAAGGTTAGGCGTCCCTGTCTGACGGAACCCCAAAGCTCGGGTTCTAGGGCTGGCTGCGTAACCAGCACCGTCAGCCAGGACGAAAACTCAAACCCCAGAAAGAAAACCTGATGCGGTCTTACAGGCGGAACTGCAGCCCTGAGCCGCAGAAGAGAGTGTGCAGCGCTCCTTCCCCCTGAGGCGGGGTGCCTGACATGCGTGCAGGACCTCACACGCACGCACACACGCGCAAGTACTCCGTTAGGCCTTGATGTGGCGTTTGCACACCTGACCACTTCATCCCATTCCTCCGCCGCCTGTGGCGGGGGGGTGGAAAGGTGGTCCTGGGCAGCGGTCGGGGTGGATCAGGCAGCCCGAGTCCACCCCCGTGCCCAGAAAACCGTGGGGGCCCCTTGTGCCTCTGTCTCTGTGGAGGGGCTAGCAGGCTCAAAAGGCCAGACAACGCGGTTGCGCCAAAATAGCACTCTGCAGTGAAAAGGACGGCATGTCTCGCCTGGCTGGCGGTACCCCAAAGCTCGGGTACCAGTGCTGGCTGCGAGACACCAGCACCGCCAGTCGGAACGAAGAACAAAACCCCAGATCGAACCTGCATCGGGCCTAGGCGTACCTGCGGCCAGTGCCGCAGAAGATTGAAGTGAGCGCTCCTTCCCCCTGAGTCGGGGTGCCTGACGCACGTGCGGGGGGCGCGCACGCACACACGCAAAGTACACAGAGAAAGGCGACGCCAGGACGACTTGGCACTGCCCACCCCTGGTGTAGAGAACGCCAGGACGGTGGGCAAGCCTTATCCCTGGTGTAGGCCTGTCTGCGCCTGGGCTGCCTGGGCAGCAATTTCGTCAATCGGGATAGGAGGGTTAAAGACAATGGGGCTAGTCTTGGAGGCCCTGGAGGAGCTTGTCCTCCCCCTCCTCTCACTGCCTCTCCTCCCTTCCTCCTGCCCCCAAGGCGGCGACGACGCCTGGCCGGCCTTCGATCGTCGGCGCATCGGTCCTCAAATTTCAATTGACGATCGAGGACGACGATTGGTGACGACGACGACTTGTGGCGACGATTCGTTTCGACGACGACTTGTGACGACTTCTGACGGCGACGACGACGACTTGCGACGACGACTTGTGGCGACGACGACTTGTTGAACGGCGACTTTGACGACGGCGACGACTTGCGACGACGACGACGGCGACGACGACGGCGGCGCCGACGACGACGACGACGACCCCGACGACGACGACGACGCCGACGGTGACGACGACGCCGACGGTGACGACGACGACGACGTCGATTACGACGACGGCGGCGGCGGTCCGACAGCGCGCGGTCCCGCGCGGGCAGCCGAGGCCGAGGAGAGCGGCGCAGGCGGCGCGTCGGATGGCGAGGACGAGGACGGCGCGCAGAGGCCCCGGCCGATGCCGTCGTCGTCGTCGTCGTCGTCGTCGTGGTCGTCGTCGTCGTCGTCGTCGTTGTCGTCGTCGTAGGCGTCGTTGTCGTCGTCGTCGACGATGCCGCCGTCGGTCCTCTGGTGGGGGTCTTTGGGTGACCATGTCGTCGGCCCTCTGCTTGGGGGCTCAGAGGAGGAAAGCCCAGACCCCCTCGCGTTGCAAAACGATCACTTCGGGAGGTTTTTCTATATTTTCGGCCGCTGGGGGCCCGTACCAGGCCTCGCGACCGTCAAAAACTACTCAGGACGAAACACCGGTCCCGGGGAATGTGCCCAGGCCTCTGGGGGTCGACGTTTGAAAAAATCACGACGTCGGAGGTCTGGGTAAGTACCCATACCGCTAAGCCTTTTCTCGTTTTCCCCATTCTGGACCTCCTGGGAGGCCCTCGTCGCCACCGTTCGATGCGCCTCGTGATCAGGGGTGGAACGCACCCCTGGAGAGGTCTGGGGAGTAGCGGTATCGGTACTCCTTGGTTTCCCCAGAGCCTTCCCACATCTGGCATCCAGTGCTACGAGACCACGCGTGGACTTGGAAAATCAAGCGGTCGTGTTTCGGGTTGCGGTCAGGAGTTCTGAGTTTCCTGGGATCACGGCGTGCTTCATTCCATCGGGTTGAGCAGGATGAGCGGGGTAACATTCTAGTTCCGTGGTTTCGTAGCTGAATGCAGGATTCGATCACCGTGACATTGCTACGTACGGCATTATTGTTCATTGGGAGCTATTGCCTTACAGCTTTCAGACGAGGTCGACGTGCATGAGACACACACCGTGCAACGAAGGCCTTCATATGCTTCTGTCCCGCATCCGATGTCTCTGGCCCGGAACTCCTGGCCCAACGATCGGAAAGGCATTCCGCTGCCTTCAGATCCTGTCCACGAGCTCAGGCCCGTACTACGCTTGACCCACCACACGGTGTTTTCGAACGAGCATAGTTGATTGTATATTTGGTTGTAAGGCAACATGCTTGCAGAGGCTGCAGGGGCAGTGCGCTTCCCCCGCTGCCCTGCTGTTCTTGCTGCTCTTCCTGACGCTATGCCCTCCCTTCCTCCTCAAGCCCGTCTTGGGGTCCAGTATCAGTTCGTGTTATTGCATGGCGAACTACGGCCAGCTTGCGCTTAGCAAATTAGACCCCCACCCCGGGGTTCTGCGGTGCGTTTTAAATCACGCGCGCCAGGGGGTCGTCGCGGGAGCGAGCCACCGAGGGGATCGTGCACCCCTCTGCACGGCAGCCTCAAAACGACGCGCCTTTCGTATAGAAAGTGAAATAGGGATCGTATACATCCGAGGCAAAGTTCCCCCTGCTCTCAAGTGGACTACTGACGCGCCACTGTCGTCGTCGTCGTCGTCGTCGTCGTCGTCGTTGTTGTCGTCGTCGTGGTCCTTGGTCCCAGTCGTCGACTGCGGCGCGCCTACTCAACACCCCCCGCTCCCGCTCACTGGGCATCCGCAGAGCGTCGTCGTCGCCGTTGCCGTCGCGTTGTCATGGTCGTCGTGCCGTGGTGGTCGTCTTCGATTACAGCGGGCCTGCGCAGCACCACCCCGCCCATGGGGCATCCGCAGCAGCGCGTCGTCGTCATCGTCGCCGTCGCCGTGGTTGTCGCGTTGCCGTCGTCGTCGTCGTCGCCGTCGACGAGCACAGCGGGCATGCGCAGCCCCCCCGCCCCCCCCCTTATTGGAGCATCCGCAGTGCGTCGTCGCCCGTCGCCGCCGGAGGATCTTGTAGTGGAGAGGGGGGCGGAGAAGGAGACAAAAAGACCCATTTCGGTTGCCTTTGACGCTTCTCCCCGTTTTTCCTTTTCCTATGTTGTAGCCGTGTCGGCACCGCCCTTCAGGCTTGGGCGCCTCTTTCCCCCGCCTCTTCTTTTTCTCTTGACTGTAGCGAATTGGGCCCGACCGCCTCGCTTTTGCGGAGGCGCTCCTGTCCCCCTACGGTGAGGTGGCGCCGTTTGCGTCGCGCCTGTCGCGTTCTTGCTGTCGGCCGGGCGCCGGCGCTGATCGCCAGTGCCGCCGCCGTGCGTTTCCATTTGGCGGGTGCCCCACCAGCGATTCGCCCGAGCAGGGGGACAATTTTTTTATCGCGTTCCCCGTGTTTTGCTAGCCACAAGTTGACACCACCCAGTCACAAGCTAGCACCAACTTCAAGCGATGCTCGCAGACGAACGATTGGTTTATGCCGCATATTTTCTGGGGGACGTTGTCGTTAAAACGTTTTGTCGCCGTGCGTCCATCTGCGGAATACGGAACCCAAATCCGTGTTCAAACAGTGACCCTGTTGGATCGTTTACGGTCCCCTCAGCGGCCTTCTGGGGCTCTCGTGGGGGCGTGTTGGGGTTTTGATAACCATTTCGTGGGCGAGGGTTCCCGATGCCAGTTCGCCCCTCTTGAGCTACTTCCTGAAACCATCAGTGGGGTCTTTTGGGCAGTGTTTGGGGCCCGTTGGGCCATATCCATATTGGTACCCTTTTGCGCCGCGGTGAGGCCCTCTTAGAGTCCTGTTGGGCAGTCTTGCGGCGACCGTTGGGATCTGTCGGGCTGTTTTGAAGACTTTAGACACCGAAAAGGCGAGTAGATCAAGCATGTAAAACATACGAGGGGTTCAATCAATTCTTCGTGTTGCCTCGTGGGCCTCTCTCCCGGGTCCGTTCGGGGCCCCCTTGGGGCAGGGGAGTCGTGGGCCGTGTTGGGGGCCTCATGGGCCGTTTTGGGGCTCTCGTGGATCTTTTCAGACCTCTCCTGGACCGTCTTGGAGCCATCTGGTTGGATTTCTTCACGCGCCATGGGGCACTGGAGCGGATGATTCCGGGCGTTCGATCGGGGGGGACCCCCGCTTCCCAAACCGTGCAGGCCCAGCTTCCAGGGGAGACGTTTGGGGAGGGACAGCCGTCAGACGCCGAGGACACCCCAAGGTGTCGGCGATCTTCCCTCGACAGTCCGCCCGTCCGCGTTTTGCGCGTTGCTCCTCCCTCTCGGCGAGGGAGCCCAGGCCCCCGAGGTCGGTGCCCCACCGTGCACCCCCGCACGCGGCCCCCCAGCGTGCTGCCGCCGCCGCCCCCTCAAGGGTCGAAACCTCTGCTTCCAGGAAGGAGCCTCGCCCTGAGCTGCGTGCCACCCTGTGCGGGGGGGGCAGTCTGAAGCAGGTTTTGCCAGAGTTGCTGACAAGGAAGCGTGGCTGTGCGGCCGTCACCTGCATAAATCCTTGCCAGATCTCGGGCGGATCGGAGTTTCCAGCCCCGGCGCGTTTCGAGGATCTCGGCCGCTGAGCGCCGAACAACGGGCTCACCTGTGAGGACATTGGCGCGCAAGCTGCCCGCAAAGTCGCGCGCAAGCGCACTCGTCTCCAACGTGGCGTGCCGCGACGGCGGCCCGAGTATGCCACGACGTAAGGTCGCTATGGGATCTCGCTGAAAACGGGTTTAATTCCGTCGCTCAGTTGGCGTTGAAATCACAAGTGTGCCGCATCTAGCTCCGAAGGGCGCGCTATGCCCCGTGGTGCGATCCCCTCGGGGAGGGCCCCTTCTATGCTTGCAGCCCCCCTGCCAGGGCTTCTTCATCGCACGCTGTCCCACAATTGAGGGCATGGCATAAACCTACACATTCGGAGGTCCGTGCGGTTTTGTTGGATCGGCGCTGGACCCCCCTCCCTGGCGAGAGGAGCGTGCGAGGGGTTCCGGCGCAGATCCAGAAATTCCGGAGCAATTCCGGCAGCGGTCTCCTTATCTCTTCTCGCGCTCTTTTCCGCTTCGCTTTCGTGCCTCAATTCGCCTCTGGTGCACCCCACCGCTTGCTGACCTGCGCTCGACTGTCCTTGACCACCTGGCGCCCGCGGACTTCCAAAAGTTTCCCGAGAGGTTTGGGATGGCGTATACTAGGCGGGCGGGCGGCGCCCCATCCCTCGCTGCGAACTCTGAACCGCCGGCCGGATTGCGAAGGCCTTGCGGCCGGCGCCGCCGACCCTCAACAGAGACGATGACGATGACGGGGACGACGACGACGACGACGACGACGACGACGACGACGACGACGACGATCACGACGACGACGACGACGACGACGACGACGACGACGACGACGACGACGACGAGGACGACGATCACGACGACGACGACGACGACGACGACGACGACGACGCGGACGGACGGACGGACGGACGGACGGACGGACGGAGACGACGACGACGACGACGACGGCGACGACATTGACGACGACGACAACGTCGACGGTTATCTTGGCAACGCCAGCCGTCCGCGCCCCGCCCGCCGCCGCCCCGCGCGCCCCAGCCGCGCCGCCGCCCGCGCGCGCGGCGCCGCCGCCCCAGAGGTCCACGCAGCCCGCTGCCGGGTGGGCGGGCCGAAGGATCAGGACTGCGGGCCGTGCCCTCCCGCCCTGCTCCTGCGGCAGCTCAGAGCCTGCTTTTGTTTGTTCCTCCGTTTCGGGCAAGTTTCACGGCACGGCGCTCGCCCCCCCCCTCCCTCTCGCCCCTCTTCAGGCGAACATCAGCGTGCAAGTGTCTCTCGATCTGCGTGGTTCCCGCACGTCGGGTCGTTCGCGGCTTGCTTCTGGTTCAGGCCCCCCCCCGTCCATGCAAGCAAACTTGCCGGAGGCTGCAGAAAAACAGGCTCTCACGGGAGCCTCCCTTGCCATCTTGCTGGCTGTTGCGAGCCGACGCTGGCCGGCGCTAAGCGGCGCCATTGGATGCTAAATCGTCGCCCAGGGACGCCAGATCAGCGCTTCCTCACCGATTGCCAGACGCCAGCGCACGCTGAGGCGGAATTTCCGTTTATGTCACGTTTTCCCCCACTTCTGGACACACGCCCGTTTATTACATGCCCGCCCGTTTATGACACGCCCGTGCGATGTGTCGCCGCCCCTATTTTTGGGATACCGTGCAACTCAGAGGAGGAAAGCGTAATTACCCATACCGCCACCCTTGCCTCGGTTTCCTCCTCTTGCGGCCTGCAGGAAGCCCTTCGTCGCCGCCGGATTCGCTTCGAGATCCTGGCCAGATCGCGCCCCAGGAGAGGTCCCGGGGAGCGGCGGTATCGGTACCTGTTGGTCTCTCCAGCAGCGAAGAAGCCCCGGCAGGGGGATGACGTGCACAGCAGGGGGCCCCCTGGGAGGGGATCGCCTCGGGGAGGAGGAGGAGGAGGAGGAGGAGGAGGAGGAGGAGGAGGAGGAGGAGGAGGAGGGGATGTTGCACGCTATGTCCCCAACGCCAATCGTATCTGCAGTCCTTTGGAGACGTCGGGGCGTTTGATTACCAAACCATCCGGACGCAATCGAACACCTCCCGATACGTGCAAAAAAAACCAGACAGCATCAAGAAGCCTTGATCCTCCTGCCTCGTCGCCCTCGTTCCTCGCGTGCGCGCGCAGGGGGAGGGGTAGGAGGGCGGAGGTGGAGGAGGAGGGGGAGGAGGGGATACTGCATTATGTGATGCTTACGCGAAGCAGTCGATGCTCTATCTCTCTCTCTCTCTCGCGCTCTCTCTCCCTCTCTCTCTCTCTCTTTATCCCTCCCTCCCCCCTCCCCTTTAATGTTTCCCATTCTTATCATTTCCCTTCCCTCCTTCCCCCTTCGCTCCTTCCGCTTTTCTTCCTCTTGCCACTCCTTCCACTCCGTACCCTCTTTCCTCTCCTCCATTCCACCTCCCTCCCCTCTTCTTCCGATCGGACGTCCACCGGAGGAGCAGGAGCAATGCCATGGGGGCATCCATGCTGAACATCGCGGCGTACGCGGGCCCCCGAGACGGCCTGATCTGGGTCCACTCCTACTCCTGCCCCTCCAACCCTTCTGAGAGGAGGATGAGGATTTGCAGATGTGAAGGATTTGCTCATCGATTCCGGCCTCTAGAGGTCCACCTGGGGCCCCTCGACCTTCCAACCCTCCCGGAAGCACGCTGAGTACGGTTCGGTATCTGCGCCTGGAGAGCGACACTGCACACGGTCAGACTCGACCCTGCTCAGAGTGAGCTTCCTGCCGACAACGCGGGCGGCACGGTAACCGCCTCGCTCCGGGCAGGCCTCGCCTGGCCGCAGCGTTGGCAGCAGCGCCCCGCCTGCAAATGCGCGGTGCGCGGAGAGAGCGAGCTGGCACGCTCGGCGTGGGATCCGCTGCCGGCAGCGCACGCCACGCGATGTGCGCCGGGAGCGGCTTCGTGTGCTCGGAGGCCGAGCTCTCCTGCAGCGACGCGCGCTGGCAGCGCGGCGGCGCGCAAGGTGCCAGTAGCGGGCCCCCGTCGTGGGGGCAGGGCCATGGCGTGGGAGGTCTTCGGGGCACCCGGGGGTTCCGGGGCGGTCGCGCATCTTTCGAGGGACGGCGGGAAATTCGATAAACATGAACATACATTTGCGGCGCGCTTCTTTAGGCTGCTTGCCGAAAGAAGCGCGCAGCAACAATGGATTGGACGTCTGCCTTCAAACTACCTTGCCCAGACTGCGAGGGCCCCCTTGTGTGCGGCAGAGATGCAGACACCTTTGGGACTTACAATCAGTAGCTTAATGTGGGTGTGTGTACCACGTCGTTTGGTGGGCCAGTGAGCCAAGAAGTTCGGTGAAAGGGTGAGAGAATTCAGAGCCTAGGCGCTCTAGCACCGCACAGGCTGGGAAGCTTTCGCGTCTATGAGCGCTGAGCTCCTTGGCTGGGTGCAATATCACCCGAAGAGGAGCATCTTCACAAACACTATGCGACGTACAATACCCACTTGCATTGACAGGCACGAGGAGTTGGTTCATCCTCGTATGGCTGTTGGCAACGCAAGCTATGCCATTGGCTGCGCAAGCTGCATAGGAAGTGCGCCCGTTGCCCGATTCACAGGACAGCAACAGAAGGACAAGGATTGACCCCCCAGGCTCGAGCAGGAAATGGGGGTCGGAACGAGGGGCGGGAAAAGGAATGAAGAGAGGCCGAAGAGTCAACGCGACAGGAGCAATGCGACAGTGGAAAGGGGCAGGATGATGAAGGAGGCAGGATGGTGAAAGAGGATGGCGACTTTGGTCCAGTGGCACGCTGGACAAGCAGCGCGGCTCTCGCCACGTCGCCCTGGCGCTCCAAAAGCATCACCGGTCCATCGCCAGCGCAGGAAGCGAGCGATGCCGAGCTCGCCCGCGACTCTCTCCGCTTCTCTTCCCTGCCTCTCCCAGGGCGGGGGCGAAGCGCAGCGGCGCTCGAACGTGGGCCAGCTTTCAGTCGGGCCTGTCCCCCTACAGGGGGTTCTCGACGTACAATAAAAGATACCCAAAAAATAATCAAACAATAGTCCAGAAATAGTCTGGGGACTATTTTTTATCGGAGGTGAGGGGGTGAGATCGAAGTGGAACGGAGAGCCCCCCTACCGGGAAATCGATTTCGGTTTCGTGTTCGTGCGTGCCGTGCGTGCGGGCGAGGCGAAGCTGCGTGGGCGGGCAAGAGAGTCTCCTGTGGCTGAGGCGCGGCCGGACCAAATGAGTCTCCACCGGGCGGCCGGTGGCGCGCGGTGTCCCGCCGGTGTCCCGCTGGTGTCCCGTCGGTTCTCCTGTGGCTGAGGCGCGGCCGGACCAAATGTTTCCCTTCCGGGCGGCCGGTGGCGCGCGGTGTCCCGCCGGTGTCCCGCTGGTGTCCCGTCGGTGTCCCGTCGGTGTCCCGATAATGATGTGGATCATTATGATGATGATGATGATGATGATGATGATGATGATGATGATGATGGTTATGGTGATGGTGATGGTAATGATGATGGTGATGGTGATGATGGTGATGGTGATGATGGTGATGATGATGCGCGAGCTCGAAAGAGGAAGGGAAACAATTACGATGTTGCCCATTGCTGGGCCCCTCCCCCCCAACCTAGACCGAATGAGAGTTCGACTGTGAGACCGAATGTGAGATCGATTGCGAGATCGATTGTGATATCGATTGTGAGATCGACTGTGAGATCGATAATGAGATCGATTGTGAGATCGATAGTGAGACCGAATGTGAAACCGAATGTGAGATCGACAGTGAGATCGATTGTGAGATCGATAGTGAGATCGACAGTGAGACCGAATGTGAGACCGAATGTGAGACCGAATGTGAGATCGATTGTGAGATCGATTGTGAGATCGATAGTGAGATCGATAGCGAGATCGACAGTGATATCGATAATGAGATCGAATGTGAGATCGATAGCGAGATCGATTGAGTGAGACGTTGGTTCCCCCTTCCCCCTCACCTCCTTATCACCCGCAGGGTGGTCGTATAGGTAATATTTTGACCTTTTGGGGGGATTTTTGGGATGTCTTTTATTTTTCGTCGAAAATCCCCTTGTAGGGGGACAGGCCCGACTTAAGGTTAGCTTCGCAGCTCGCAGTCCTCCGGAGACGGTGAGATCTGCTCGGGACCTGCTTGGGACGCCGGTGTGCGGACCTCTCAGCAGCCCTCGAACGTGGCGGCGGTGTCGCGTTCCGCAGTCCCCCAGGGATGGTGCGGTCGAGCCTGCATCTGCGAAGGACGTCGGTCTGCGGGGCCCACCAGCAAATGCTTCGAGAGCGGAGATGGTTTCGCAGCTCGCAGCCCCCAGGGGTGGCAGGTCCAGTGTGCATATGCGTAGGACGGTGTGCTGAACCCCCCAGCAGCCCTCGAAAATGGTGGCATCCTTGCAGGTTGCAACATCCAAGGAACTGCGAGGTTTAACCCCCGTAGGACGTCACCCAGTTGGATCCCCGAGCAACCTTGGATAACGGCAGCCGTTTCGCAGCTCGCATTCCCCTAGCGAATCCCAAGGCAGGACGGCGAGGTAAGATGCTGCAGGGCAGTAGGCAGGTAGGAGGGGAGCGGGGCAAGGAGGAGGGGAGAGGAACATGAAGATGGGCCGACCAGGCGACACTGTTTATTTTCACCTGACAACGACAACTTCATAAAACGTAAAGTGCCGCAGGTGCGGGCAGATTTTTCGGATCGGCGTTGGGCCCACTGGCGCGTTCCGCGCGCCAGGGAAGGGAGGACAGCGCCGATACAAGAAGTCCGCGCAGAGCTCCAACAGCTTACGGCTATTCCGTGTTTGTTTCGTCTATGTACGTCGAGCTTCTCCCAGTCATGGGGAGGAGGCTCGTGGGTGCGAAGATGGGGGCCCGAGAGAGGGGGCCCCAAGGACAGGAACGGGTTTCCAGGGCGAACTTGCCATGTTGAGGTTCTCCTCGGCCCACGGCCCCATGCTCAAGGCCGCATCTTTGAAGTGCCGAGAGGAAGATTGAGCAGGGAGGAGGGGGCGGAGGAGGAGGAGGAAGCGGAGAATAATGCGGTGGAGGGCATGAGATTGCCTTGATGTGTGTTGCTTGCGTTTCTAAGTGGTTATGTGGGGGTCTGTGGGAACCACGTCATCCCTCCTTCTCCTCCCTCTCTTCATTCAGAGCAGAGCTTCGAAACGCAAAACGGAGCAATTCGAAACGCATCGACAGCGCGATGCGGTGGTGCGCCAGGTGGGCCAGCCATGTGCCACGGTGCATCAGTACTGCGATGATGATACGCCCTCAGTTTTAGCCTATGATGCGCGATTCAATGGTTCGAAAAACCCGCGCTGCGCAGCACACATCATAGTGTGGGGTTGCTGTCTTTCGGCTGCGAAAGGGTTTGAATCTAGCTCTAGTGAACATGGCAAGCCCTCGTCAGGTGAGAAAGACGAGGAAGGACGAGGGGGATGAAAACGGGGAGGTTCTCTTCCTGCTGCGTGGAGAAGAAGAGCAGGAGGGCAGAGGTGGATGAGCTCCTCCTCCTCCTTTTTCTCCTGTTCCTCCTCCTCCTCCTCCTTCTCCTCCTCTCCCTCCCCCCTTCCCCTCCTACACCCCCACAGGCGATGACGACGACGACGTCGACGACGAAGACCGCCTCAACAACGACGACATCCACGACCGACGCCCCCCGACTGGTCTCCAAAGGTTCCCGGGAGGCCCCCGGAACCCTGCGGAGGCCCTCCTAAGAAAGGGCTCAAGCCGTCCGGACGCTCAAAATTGTCGGCGTTCGCGCTCCTCGATCGGCCAGGTCGGGCACGTCCTCCTACAATAGAGCCAAACAATATCAAGAAATAGTCAAACATAGTCAGAACATCGTCCCCTGACTATTTTTTCACTATTTTTGAATGTGCCTCCTTGTAGAGGGACACGCCCGACTCAATCGATCGGCGACGACGGCCACGAGCGGCCAAGGCCGAGCAGCTCGGCGAGGGTGGTGATTCGGAGGGCGAGGACGAGGCTGGCGCGGCAGGCGCTCCGAGGCCCCCGCTCGACGGCCGCGGCCGTCGTCGCCGTCGGCGTCGTCGTCGTTTTCCTCGTCGTCGTCATCCTCGTCGTCGGACGTTTCGAGCGTCGGCGTCGTCATCGTCGTCGTCTTCTCCGTCGTCGTCGGACGTTTCGATCTGCTTTCTCAGTGGTGTGTTGCCCCTTGAGCTCCCAAATGCTTCCAGACGTTGGTCTCCGAAGGCGCACCGGCGACGACAGCGGTTCCCGCCGGACGTTTTCGCGCGGTTGTCTGAGAGGCGCCCTGGCCAGGGACGCTCCTGCGCTCAGTGGCTGCGCTCGCGCCCAGGATCTCCTTGCAAATCGCTACTTGCCCAGGGCAGCAGGTGTAGCGCATGGGTTCGGTTCGGCACTTCTTAGCAATCTACTCGACGACCCGCCAGGGGGGAAGGCGGGTCCTAAGGGAAAGGGGCCCTGAGGTGTTTTGCCGTCTCCGGGCGTTCGGGGCCCTCCACGGGCCCCGGGACTGTCAGGAAACGTTTCCGGATGAAGAGCTCGTCCCGGGGGAAGGCCACAGGGTCCAGGACCCGCTTCCGCGCTTCGCCGTGCCTTCCCAGCGGCCTAGTACCTTGGCTCTTCGTTTGAGGCAGCGCGTGGCGTCAAAGAGATCCAACGCCGTCCATCTGCTCCCGTGTCTCACGCTGCAGCGCAGCATGGCTGCGGTGAGATGCAGTGCTCGAGGCTGGAAGCATCGTGTCGGTGGTTTGTGCCGTGTTGGTTTTGCGATTTTTCATAAAGAAGGAAGGATCTAAATTATTTGGTTCTTTCTTTGGTACATAGAGATAAACGGTTCAGGACTCGTTTCCCTCAGGACCCGCTTCCCCCAATGCTGAAAACGGCGCCCTCGCCAGAGACGTCCCCAAGCCCAGGGCTGGCGCCCTCGCCCAGGCATCTCCCCTCTCGTGCGGGCCCCAATCGTATACACCACCACCACCTCCATTGCCCTTCGCTCGCCCACCCTCAGTTTCCTTTCCTCTTCCCTGGGAGAGGAATGGGATGAGGGAGGAGGAGGAGGAGGAGGAGGAGGAGGAGGAGGAGGAGGAGGAGGAGGAGGAGGAGGAGGAGGAGGAGGAGGAGGAGGAGGAGGAGGAGGAGGAGGAGGAGGAGAGGAGGAGAGGGAGGAGGGAGGAGGAGAGGAGGACGGAGGAGGGAGGCCTGAGCGAGGAAGGGGATGAAGAAGGCGGTGTTGGTGGTGTATACCTTTGGGCCCCGTCTCTCGATAACTTCAGGCAGTTTGTCCCCACTCCGTCCGCGTCAGTGTCTTCGCTGCGCCAGGGAGGAAGGTCGGGCAAATGGTACACATACGCTGCCAGTTGCGGGGGGGGGTTCTTCAATCGCAGGACGTTTTGAGCTTCGGTTCGGGGTCATCGTCGGGGTGGTGTGGTGTAGACTTTTTGTCCCCGCTCTCCCCAGGGAAACAACGAACCATGTATACACCAGGGTCCCGTGTACACCAGGATCCGCTTTCCTGTGCGACTTTCGGTGCGGGGCTGGGAAAAGCGTCGGTGTATATTGAGTTCGGCTCTTTTGAAGGGGCGATGACGGTCCCGGGGCAGGACAGTCTGCCGACCCCAGAGCTCACCATCCATCAAACCACCCCAACCCAACCCGAAGGCCCCACTTTGCCCTCCACTTCCAGAGGGGGGGCGTCGGGGAACACTGAGAACACACCTGTGGAACCCGTGGCCCCCAAACCCGAAATTCGGGTTTTCGGGTCATGTTGGGGTGGTCTGGTAGGTAGGCAATAGTCGCATCTCGAACTTTGGCATCGCGTCATCGGGGCCTTGATGTATGCAACATCGATTTGCCCGATCATCTCGTTCTTGCCTGGCACCTTCTTTCATTTTCGTGTGTTTGGAAACGCGCTTGGGCCGCCCAGGCGTGGGCTGCGTGGGTGCTCCCAGGCGTCAGACTGAACACGCCACGGCATACCCCCTCCCTCCTCCCCACCATCCTCCTCTTACTTCCCAGACGTATCCTACGACGGCTCCTCGTGTCCAGCGGAAGGGCCCTTTCGGGCTTTCGAGGTGGTTGGTGTCGGTCACTATGCCCTCCAGGGTCTCCCTGGGGCCCATCGGTTTTCCGCCTCGGCACAAGAGTTCTGCAGCTGATTTCGCCCCGTCATCTGCAAGGGAATTGCTTTGCTTGAGGTTGAAGAGGGAACATCTTCCTTCCCAGACATGCCTGGGCCAACACCAATCATGACATATGGTGTTTGGCCGTTTCCGGTTGTCGGGGGCCCTCGCCGGGCCCCGGTAGCGTCAACAAACGATTCGGCATGAAGAGCCCGCCCTGGGGAAAGTGTCGGGACTTTTGGGGACCCCGTTTTGAAAAGTACCGGGGGACGCACCCAACCATTTTTACACATGAGGCGACTATACATCGGACCGCTCAATACACAAGCAAGCACTGAAGGATCCGCCGTTGTCTTGAACGCTTCGCCAAAGAACGTTGGGTCAGAGTCAAATGTTTCACATGCGCGGCATCATTCTTAAGTGTCCTATCGTTGACAGGAAGGCGACCACGAGGGGCGTGGAAACATACTGATGAAGGGGGAACTGGAGACATGCGCATCGCGCTAGGTTCTGGTTGCATAACAGCGCCATGAGTGCTATGACAGAAGATCACCCTGCGCTAAGCGCTGCAAGTTCCCGAGTAAACTGAGGGCAAGAGGCAACTGAAGAGTCATTGCGGCATGGGCAAATGACAGCGCCATGCGGTCCGTGGCGCCCCATCCCGCTGCGATCTGCGATCAAACAAAGCAGCGAGGTCTCAAGGACCGCAGGGGACGGCGAGGTCTCGTGGTGATCTGCTTGGGACGTACTTCCGCTGGGGCCTCCAAGGAGCCAACGAAAGTGGCAACAGGCTCGCAGATCGCAGTCCCCCAGGGGACGGCGAGGCCTCGTGGTGATCTGCGTGGGACGTACCTCCGCTGGCCCTCCCAGAAGCCCACGAACGTGGCAACAGGCTCGCAGATCGCAGTCCCACAGGGGACGGCGAGGTCTCGTGGTGATCTGCGGTGGACGTGCCACCGCCTCTCCCAGAAGCTCACGAAAGTGGCAACAGTTTCGCAGATCGCGGCCCCCCACGGGGCGACGAGGTCTCGTGGTGATTTGCGTGGGACGTACCTCCGCTAGACCTCCCAGAAGCGCACGAAAGTGGCAACAGTTTCGCAGATCGCGGCCCCCCACGGGGCGACGAGGTCTCGTGGTGATTTGCGTGGGACGTACCTCCGCTGGCCCTCCCAGAAGCGCACGAAAGTGGCGACAGCTTCGCAGATCGCAGCCCTCCCCAGGGCACGGCGAGGTCTCGTGGTGATCTGCGTGGGACGTACCTCCGCTGGCCCTCCCAGAAGCCCACGAACGTGGCAACAGGCTCGCAGATCGCAGTCCCACAGGGGACGGCGAGGTCTCGTGGTGATCTGCGTGGGACGTACCACCGCTGGGCCTCCCAGGAGACCCTCGAAAGTGGCGACAGTTTCGCAGATCGCGGCCCCCCACGGGGACGGCAAGGTCTTGTGGTGATTTGCGTGGGACGTATCTCCGTTGGTCCCCCCCAGAAGCCCACGAAAGTGGCGACAGCTTCGCAGATCGCAGCCCCCCAAGGCACGGTGAGGTCACGAGGCAGGGGGGAGGAGGAGGAGGAGGACGAGGAGGAGGATGAGGAGGAGGAGAATGGAGGGAGGAAGGAAGAGGGGGAGGACGACGAGAAGGAGGAGGAGGAGGAGGAGGAGGAGCAGGAGGAGGGTGAGGAGGAGGAGGAGGAGGAGGAGGAGGAGGAGGAGGAGGAAGGGAGGGGGTGGAGGAGGAGGAGACGGCGGAGGAGGAGGAGGAGGAGGAGGAGGGGGATAGGAGAAGAAGACGGAGGTGGAGACCACAGTGCTCTATTCAAAACGAGTACCCAACTTAGGAGGGTTGGGAATCAAGGCCCCCCATGTCTGGGTCCTGCCCATCATCGTTCCCTCTTCCTCTCTCTCTCTCTCTCTCTCTCCCTGCCGCATTCCATTCTCGTCCTCTTTGCATTCTAGGGTTCGAGCTAGGGGTTATCACGCCTTCTATCTGATTGGGGTGTACCTTGCCGGAGTTACTTCTGAGGCCCGAAGAGGGACGTTTGTAGATTTTGAAGGCGGGTACACATGAGAAATATGAACACACAGAAATGGCATGCGAGCGAGCAAGAACGAACGGACTTGATAATATCGTCGTCGTTGTTGTCGTTATCTTAGTCGTGGTCGTCGTCATCATCGTTGTCTTCATTTTCAGTGTCGCTGGGGGGAAGGGCAGCAACAGCAGGAGGAGGGGGACACTGATGCGTTTTTGTTTCTGCTCTTGTTGGACCGAAGCTGGGTCCGCCTCGAATTCAGAGTCACCATGCGCAATCGGAATCAGAGTCACCATGCGCGACAGAGCATCCTTTCCCCATTCATATTTTACTGTTATGCAGTATCCCTGCTTCCCGTCCTCCTCCTCCTCTTTTTTCTCCTCCTCCTTCTCCTCCCTACTCCGTCGCCCTCCTCTGGTCTCTCCTCCTTTCTTCCCATCCTTGTTCTCGTCTGCCGTTTCCGAACTATTGTGCCGCTCTCCTCCGCCCCTTCCCCTCTTCCGCCCATGTTCCCTTCCAGCCCGGGGGAGGGGGGGGGGCAGTCGGAGGAAGAGCGGGCGGGGAAAGGGGGAGGAGGAGGAGCAGCTGGACGAGGGGGGGCGGGAGGGAACATGCGGGAGGGAGGGCTGGGAGGGTGGGGAGGAGGAGGGACGGAGGTGCAGGAGCGGAGGACGAAGAGGAAGAGAGAGGGAGGTAGGGAGGGAGGGAGGCGGCGGAGAGGAGGTGCGCGATGAGGATGAGGATGAGGATGAGGAGGATCAGGATGAGGATGAGGAGGATGAGGAGGATGAGGATGCGTATGAGGATGAGGATGATGATGAGATGATGATGATTATGTTGATGATGATGGTGATGATGATGATCATGATGATGATGATGATGATGGTGATGATGGTGATGGTGATGGTGATGGTGATGATGGTGATGGTGATGGTGATGGTGATGGTGATGGTGATGATGATGATGATGATGGTGATGATGGTGATGATAGTGATGATGATGAGGATGAGGGTGAGGATGATGATGAGGAGGAGGAGGACCAGTGCAAACTCAAGACTCACCATCGATGTTGCGATAAACCCTTCCTCCGAGCTCCCTGTTCATAGGTCCCTGCAAGGGTTCATGCTCACTGAAGCAAGTGAACCGTTGGAAGACAAACCGTATGACAATCCTGAACCTTACCGGAACAGTATGCTTGAACCTTGCCTTCAGCGCCTTGAATCAATGTTACTGTTGCATCCTGACGATCCTGAATCGTACCATAATGCCGTTTCTGAAATTTCAACACCGCAAATCCACGTGATTGCTGCGCCCTGACAATCCTACATCGTGCCAGGACACAATTTCTGGGACGTCAGCCACAAGACTAGGTGAACCTGCTGTAGACTCTGGAGACGACTCTGCGCGGAGCTAAGGCGAGGGCCACATGTTGAAAAGCTGCCGCCCTTCATCCGCGAGGCTCTTGCAGTTTGCAGAGCGCAGCGCTGGCGAGAGCCACATGTTGAAAACGGCCCGCCCTCCCTCTTGCACACGTTTCAGACGAAGGTGCGCTCCGCTGAGGCGAGAGCCACGTTTTGAACACGACCTCCTCCTCCTCCTCCTCCTCCTCCTCCTCCTCCTCCTCCTCCTCCTCCTCCTCCTCCCCCCCTCCTGCTCCTCCTCCTCCTCCTCCTCCTCCTCCTCCTCCGCCTCCTCCTCCTCCGCCCCCTCCTCCTCCACCCGCGAAGCTGTTGCACACTCTAAGCTCAGAGCTCGCAGGTGGTGAGAACGTCTCGGGCGACACGCCTGGCCCGCCCCACCGACACTTTTCGGGCATGCGGCAGGGCGGAGTTGCTCATCAGAACGGGAGGAGGAGGAGGAGGAGGAGGAGGGGAGGAGGAGAGGAGGAGGGGGAGGAGGAGGGAGGAGGAGGGGAGAGGAGGAGGAGGAGGAGGAGGAGGAGGAGGAGGAGGGGGGGGGGAGGAGGGGGAGGGGGAGGAGGAGAGGAGGGAGGAGGAGGGGGAGGGGGGGGGGGAGAGGGAGGAGGAGGCGGAGGAGGAGGGAGGGAGAGGAGGAGGAGGGGGAGGGAGGAGGAGGAGAGAGGAGCTCATCCCCCCCCCTCCTCTTCGACGGTTCGCCGCGCCGAGATGCATGGGCATCCCAGAGCTGACGCAGCCGGCCTCGCCCAGGACCCCGCCTCGGGCCGTGCAGCATCGCGGTCGCCGCCGCGGTCGTCACCGCCGTCTCGGTGGCCGCCGCCGCCGCCGCCGCCGCCGCCGCCGCCGTCGTCGTCGTCGTCGTCGTCGTCGTCGTCGTCGTCGTCGGCGTCGGCGTCGGCGTCGGCGTCGGCGTCGGCGTCGGCGTCGTCGGCGTCGTCGGCGTCGGCGTCGGCGTCGGCGTCGGCGTCGGCGTCGGCGTCCGCGGCGTCGGCGTCGGCGTCGGCGTCGGCGTCGGCGTCGGCGTCATCGTCATCGATTTCGCCGCCGCCACCGTCGCCGCCGCCGTCGTCGTCTTCGTCGTCCTTGCCGCCGCCGCCGTCGCCGTCGTTGCCGTCGCCGTCGTCGAGGTCTGCGCTGCCGTCGTCGTCCTCAACTCCTCGACGGAGCCCTGGCGTCCCCGGCCGCGCGGCGGCCGAAGCCACTCTGACCCCAGGCCTCTGGCACCGTGTCCTGGAAGCGGCGAGGCCCGTTCCCCTGAGGTTGGGCTCCACGGGGTCGGCGTTCAAGAGCTATGGGGCCCTCGAGTCAAGGCGACTAGGGCCAAGATCACGACGTCCCCAACCCTCTCATCACTCCCTGCACTCGTGAGCTGGAGGAGGAGGAGGAGGAGGAGGAGGAGGAGGCGGAGGAGGAGGAGGAGGCGGAGGAGGAGGAGGAGGAGGAGGAGGCGAAGGAGGGAGAGGAGGCGGAGGAGAAGGAGGAGGAGGAGGAGGAGGAGGGGGAGGATTGGATTGGATTGGACTCGGATTCAGCGCTGGGTTCGAGAACCAGAACCAACTGGCGAGCGACAGAAGCGCTACAAGAAAACAAACATCTAGGCCACGACAGCCCAGGGCGGAAACCGTGACAGTGCCAGTGTCCTTAAGCGTCCGTTTTCTCCCGGCCCCCAATCAAAACCACCCAACGTTTCCGCATCCGTCTGTTCGTGCTGGTCTGGAACGAAAGGCTAAGAACGCAACTGAAAGAGAAGAAGGAAGGCCAAGAGGAGGCGAGGAAGAGAGGGAAGGGGGGAGACAGTTGCTTTCGAAACCCGTTAAAACAAACTGCTGAGGGGGAGCAGTTCGTCCAGCACCTTAGCCTCTCCTTTGGAGGGGTCTGGGTGCTTTCTCTGGAACATCCTGTCCCAGTTAGACTTGTTATGATGGCTGGTGAACCTCTCATTGCAAGGCTTTGTAAGCCCTACTGCTCGCCGGCCCTGGCAGATACATCCACAGAAGGAGCACACAAATATTAAGTGATCCCCATTGTAACTAGCAATGTAAATTCTGTGGTTGCGCGGATTGGCAGCGATTGCGCTGAAAGCGGCGTTGTACCCTGTACACGTTGTGGTCTGAGGCGGGTACTCTGCCCTGCATCTGGTGTAACAGACGCGGCAGGACCACATATTCTGCTTAATCCATTTCCAATTGTGGCTCTGGGCCTGGCCTGCTACCTCAGGCTGAGGCGCCTGCGTGACCGAAGAAGCGGGCCTTAGCACACCTTCTCTGTTGGTGGCTCCTGCCGGCACCAAGGGAGGAGGTGGAGGGCGGAATGGGGCTGGCGGAGGTGGGGCGGAGGAGGAAGAAGCACCCCCGCCTGCCGAATTGACCCCATTCCCTGAAGCCGTACCAGCCGAAGCTGGTCTATACTTGCCCAAAACCTCGTCGCGGTAGCTGTACACTGCCCTGCGCTCCCATCGAGGCCCCGCTCTCTTCAATCTGGAGCGGCACCCCTTCCGGCCACGGGGTTTGGGCAGCCTTGGAAAATCCTCTAGAGCTCTAGCGACGAATTTAAGGTAGGACTCCAAAGCTTTGGTAGTCTTTGCCTGATCTTCCGCCTCGGCACTCGATGGCTGTAAGTGCGAATTGGCACCTAGTTTGGCAGTTTTGTCTGCTTCGTCGTTTCCCACGGCATTAAACCATTCAGCTGAGCCTTCAGGGAACGACGAGGGATCTAAATGGGCAGCCACCTTAGAGCAGGCAACACCATTAGCGGAGAGTCCTACTATACGCATCTTGATTCCTGCGTAAAACGACTTCCTATACAGGAGGGTCTCTCGAGGCTGGGAGTGCAAGCCAACCACTCCCTTATAGTCTGCTCGAATTTCTGTTACTAGCGGTGCGTATGTTACAGCTGCCAACACTGCGACATGCTCAGCTGCTGGGCTACTCTGGGGCAGAAGGTTACCTACTCTGCCGCGCATCCTGGCGAGGACCTCGCCACTATCGGACAGCTTCACAAGTCCCCAACCCTCCCGGTGAAAGAATCTGTGCCCATCCTTGTAGGCAGACCCGTCAGAGAAGACTACACCCCTCAGCGCTACTTCAGGAGGCGATCCGTCTGCAGACCACCATTCGTACTCTTCGTGTCCAATCCCCTCAGGGGGAACTGTTTGGAAAGACGGGCACACTTGAAAGCCTAACAGTTGATGAGAGACCACATCTGGCTGGGTAAGAATATCCAGATCTTCTGTTGACAATAACTCATCACGCACATGCTGGGTAAGAGGGCACGTGAACAGCCGATGGTGAATATCGTCGCGCACGTTACCACAGAGGCACGACGAATCAGTATCATAACCAAGACACCATAAACGATGCTTTGTCCATATACTCTGGCAGGAGAATGCCCTCAGCAAATTCCTGTGTCTAGCCGAGAGCTCCGCTGACGCTAACAGGGATCGGATACCAGACGAATCGAGCTGATCCGATCGGTCGATTCCTAGCTTGTCGGCGGCCAACCTGTTCGTTCGGCGATTCCAGGCAGCATGCATTAGCTCATGGATCATCTTGGGAGCGGTATCGGTTAGAGCGTATCGGTATCCAAGATCGGTGACTATTTCGAACGGGGATACGAATTGCCAATCGATTCGCTTCAGGCTCAAGATTGCTGCACCTGCTGGTCCTCTCACTCCCCCCAGTTTGCAGGAGGCTGCTGAAGGACTTCACGAAATAGACGCCCCAGCTCGGAGAGAGGGTGGATAGATCTGAACCTCCCATTGCTCATTGACTTCCATACAATCGTGGCCCACTGCATAGCTGGACCCAGCCCCTGTTTCCAGAGTGGGTCACCCAAGACTGCCATTGATATGCTGCGTGAGCGGCTCTTGCAGGAGCTGCCGACGAGGGAGATGTAATGCGTCTGGGCTGCACAGCTCCGGGGAAGTGAGCCCCGCGACCTCTGCACCGTAAAAGCCTGAGGCCTGAAGACCTGACACGTAAAGTTTCTTCAAAGGGGCTCCAGTTTTCTTCAGAGCCCGGAGCCTGGATCCACGTTTCTTGAGCTTCGAAAAACGTTCCGCTAGCAGCTTCGCTTTTTTGGCTCTCTTGGCCCCGCAGAAATAATCAACTCCCAAGTTGGGCGTTGATGAGAGGGCCCTGCCAGCGTACTTTCCGAAATTCGTTTTCAACATTTCCGTGAGCCTGGGGCAGGAAGATACGATCACCGACTTGCGCTGGGCGACTTGGCACTCCAACTCGTGCTGGATCATGCTGGACAGATCCGCCGCCGCTGCCGTTAGCTGATTGACCACTTTCTGCCGGCTGTCGCTGGTGTTGTTACCATGGAGATCGTCGATGAACATCGTCGCAATAACTGTCGGGTGCCGCCTCTGCCACACTCGTAGCGGAGGCAAGGAATACACCTGCACGATGAAGGTAGCAAATGAGCAACCCGCTGCGATCCCGAAGTGAGGATACTGGAGTTCTACTGCAAGGCCTGAGAAACTCAAGAACCTCCTGGACCCATACTGATTGAGTACCACCGCTAATACTGTGAGGGAGAACTGGGACTTCTTGGCCCTCGACCAGACAAGTTCTCTACAGACATGCTCGTAATAGTTACTGAGGTCCCATAGGAAGGATCCCGAGAACATGTTCCTGGACAAGGTCGTGGATTCAGCTGCCAATGACTGCAGGTAGACGACCTCTATTGATCTGCCAGACTGGTGGGCCATGAGGGGGTCGAAGTTCCTGGCCTCCCATTCTCTACAGACAGGTTGCCGTAACCTGGACCATATCCGGTAAGGACTGGGAAGGCAACCGATTCCACGAAAACTTTGACCTCGATCATCAGGCTTGTGCTTGGGAATGAGAGTGGTGTACAGAGCTAGCACCACACTTGGCATCTTACCCACTCTCTCTATTAACTGAAACAGCTTGATGGTAACCAAAACCTGCTCTGGTTCGAGGAGCCCGTAGTGCCTCGGGTGGAAGCCGTCCCAAGTCTGACTGGTCTTGTGGGAAAACATCCTGGTCACCCTCATGAACTGTTCCACTGATATTTCTGGGAGCTGCGCTGCATCTGATGGGTCGGCCTCAAAGGGTGTTGGCGGTGTGGACGTGGACTCCCAGATGCCTTCTAGACGCCGGGCTTCCATTTCAAGCAGGGCCGAAGGCTTTGCCGAAGGAAGTAGGGCCTGGGGGGTACGTAGGCTTCCAGAAATCGGTCGGTTTAGTCCACCTGTGGACCCACCCCGAAGGCATGCCCTCTAGGTTTTCTCGCACCCATTCCTTCCATGCTTCTGCCGATCCCTTCCTCTCAACATCCTTTTCCTTCTGGATGATTAGCTCGATGTCGGCATAATGCTTCGTGAATATATCCCTGGGTACTGTTGAACCACAGCTCCCTGCCCGGACGTCTGTGGCCAAGGCGGTGAGAAGAGCCTTGGTGTCAGCGTGCACTGCAATTAAGGTCTGTACCGATTGGTACTCTTGCGGTGCCTCAGAGAACTCAGAAATAACATGGTCGACGAAATCTCTGGATACTTCAGGGCCCGCTTCCTCGCTTTCTTATGCACCGCCTGCACTGGGACAAACTTTACTCTAGGATACTGCCCTCTCCTGGAAGATTTGGGTGTCGGGGTATCCGTCTTCAGACAAACGGCATGCTCGAAGTGCTTGACGAACAGACCATACACAGCATCTAGTAAACCATGGCTTTCCTTTTGGGGGAGTTGGTTAGTTTGGATAGTGT